CATTGGGCATGTGGTCTCCAATATGCATAACTACACGGCATGTGCGCTTTGACCTTTTTGTGCATTTCTTGGTAAAATGGTTAGATGAAAAGCAGCGTGTGCGAGTGGTGGTTCATTCAAAGTGTGTGCTTTACTTCCTTGGTTACTGCTTATTGGTTATCTGCCAACAGAATAATCACAGCCCTGCACTTCCAAGTGGTGGAAACATTGCTCAATGGGTTGGAACACATGTCTGGCCTGTGGACAGGAAGACAGTAACAATGCTTTTGTGCATTTCATGCTGACTTTGCTGCTCACCAAGAAGTAAGGGGGAAGGAGGTGAACTGGTCTCCTTGCCGTTGAGTTGGCTTCAAGGCAACGTACTCAGCAATGGAATATTAGAATCAAGTCAACCCTCTATGACTGACTCAGGCTGAGCCAGGCTGGTCTGCAGCACTTCAAGGCAATGTTAACAGACAAGGCAGTCTAAATTGTGGCAAAACTTCAAAGGACAGACCAGTCCCTGTGAGAAGGGATTCTTCATTTATATACTGCCTTTTGTTTAAGAATTTCTCTGCGTGCTTGCTAAACATAGTGTTTGACATGGAGCAGAGTAATGAGATTTAAAAAGATTGACTAAAGTCAAAGAAATAAGTTTCAACAACATCAACAACAAAAATTTACAATTGTAAAGCGCTTTAGGTCGGGAGGACATCCCAAGGTGCTAAACAGTCAGGGATCAGGACCTGACTGAGCATGGTGGGGCAGGGTTGGGATGAGGGGGGCAGAGAGGCAGTAAGGTGGCTGAAGGCACGTTCAAGAAGCAGGGTATTGAGTCGAGCCTTGAAGCAGGCAAGGGAAGGAGCGAGGCAAAGGGATTGTGGGATGGAGTTCCAAAGGGTGGGGGCGGAGAGGCTGAAAGCCCGGCCACCGATGGTAGAGCAGGTCGAGCGGGAGACATGGAGCGGACAGGTTGATAAGGGGTTTAGCAGGTTAGAGAGGTAGGAGGGGGCAAGTCCTGTAGCTTTGCAAGCAAGAGACCTGAGTTCAATTCCAGGCACAGGGCGAAACCTTGGGCAAGTTTCCCTACTCCACACAGAGCCTAATAATAATCCTCCAAAACCAAAAGCAATAATAAATTGGTCATTTTCAATCCACGACTGTTTGTGGGACATTGCTGTACGCAATTGGCTGCCGCGTTCGCCCACAAATATACAGTCAATTCACTTTACAGTGTTTTCTGTGAAGCGCTTTGGGACGTCCTCCCGACGTGAAAAGCGCTATATCAAATGCAAGGATTATTATTATTATGGAGGGCCTTGAAAGTGAGATTAGGTAAAAACACATCATGCGAAATGACAATGCACTTTTAAAAAATATGTATACAAATTTCTTTCAGAGCTGCTATTTGAAAAAGCCAAATATGCAGGAATAACCAAGAGGAGAATTCCAGTCACACGTCTCTCCTGTTTATAGTAATAACATCACAGAAAGAGAAGGCTCTGAAATGGATCTGGGTAAAACTCACTTTGGTAACCTTATTGACAAAAGATGCAATTTCACCCAATCCAAACTAAAATTGACACAAATTATAACCACTGATTTTGTTTTAATTTAAGAAGTATCTACTATTCCACACCTACGGAGATAAATAAGAAGGGTATGGATATCCTCTCCTTTCTGATCTCCAGAATGCTACTCAAGACTGCTAGCAAATAATAATAATAATAATAATAATCCTTGCATTTGATATAGCGCTTTTCACGTCGGGAGGACGTCCCAAAGCGCTTCACAGAACACACTGTAAAGTGAATTGACTGTATATTTGTGGGCGAACGCGGCAGCCAATTGCGCACAGCAATGTCCCACAAACAGTACAATTCGAAGAGAAAGTACAAAAATCAGGCAGTAGCTACAGGGCTGAATGATTCACATAACAGTCAGGGGCACCACGACTTTGACTTTGACATCATCCAATGGCAGCAAAACGTCAACAACACTCCCTCAGTCGATCAGATAACTCGGTGTGTTCCCGGAACGTCACGCAATTCTAAGCCTACGCAACCTCTCGGATCAAATTCCTGAAGTCCGTCTGTCTCGGGAACCTGGAGCGACAGTGTGAAAGTTAATGATCTGAAGTTTGTACTTCTGCAGATTAAAAATGGTATAAGAAGGTAAAATGCTTATCTCTGCTCAGTCTCGTGGCAGATCAGGAAAAAAAAGAAATTTACATGTGAGCAGACGTACTCTCCATCCTACCGTTTCAGTTAAGCTTGCTGACATTCAGAGCTGCTAACCCACCTGCATAATACTCACAATTTATCATGGAAACAAATTGTTATCCAGCCTAATCATACAGGATTGTTCACCGTATGTTGAAAATTTGAGATTGTTATATGCAACAAAACTGACATCCTATAATCTTGCCCATTCTAACAGAATTTCATAGAATTTAATGGGATAAAGCCTTCTTAATGGTGCTACAGGAAGAAACAATCGGATAGGAAACAAATAGTTTAAAATGCTATAAATTAAAACTGGGGCTACTGAAAGTTAGCAGCAACTATGAGGAGCCCTAAAACTGTAACTAATGCCATTTTCTATTTATCAGTCAACTGAAATTTTTAGTAATAGGAAATGAATGTGAGCTTATCAGTCGATTCTAACCATTTCAACACAAATCATTCAACTGTATTTTCCCCCTTTCACTTCAAACCTTCAGAACAGCCACCGTTACTGCATTCCTGTACCAGTACGAGGCAGTCTTATCTTAAGGATTTGATTATAAATCAAATCTTGCAATAGACCTAACTTCAATTCACCAAGTACAGTTTGGAGTCAGCCATTATCAATAAAACACATCACTGAATTGCAACCAATTATGAAACTGACAAAGTTCCAAACTTTCACAATAAGTTAAAAAAAAAATTATCCCCAATTGAGGAAGTTGGACTGCTGTGAAACTCTCCATTAGCACTGACCCAATGAAATAGGTGGGGGGGATGATCAGTGTGTGTTAAAGGATTGCAGAAGAGAAACCTCAATCAGACTTGAATGCACTTGATAAAGTCTGAATTCAGAGCATGGTTGAAAAGGAGGGTTTTGAGGCGGAACTTGAAGGAGGTTTTGTTTAAAAAAAATTTAATTAATTTAAATAAAATCCACGAGTGGATAGGGAAAAACAAGTTTGGGCTAAAATATATATTTTAAGCATTACAAAGTTACAAAATCATTGCATTTGATATAGCACTTTGTCACCTTGCCAAAACATCGCAAAGCACATCATAGGATTTATTCTTGTTAGGGTAGTGATTTGTATTTGTAATCCATAATGATGCTTTTTTGAAAAAAACATGTCTTAATTCCAACCCTTGAAACACATTCAATGTAGTGTTGTCACTATGCTTATTAGCATATTGGTACCAATAAAGTGTAGACAAAATAAATTCACATTGAAAACAATCCACTATCTATGATGTCTTCACCACCTTAAACTGTCCTACCACAACAACCACCATCCACTAATGTTAAACAGCTTCAACTGCTCTTTCCAGAAACAAATTTGGAATACCAAAGTCTACAGCTGTATCTGTGTGTGTGTGTGTCATGCGGGGTAACGTCCCCGGGTGGGTCTTCCGCAATTCACATTGTCCATAGATAAAGCACCCGGTGTTTCACTAAAAAAGTGGAAAGGCAAAGCCCTTACACTATGTACCGCTACATGACAAATCCAGATGTTCAACATTGGCTAGCATTGAATAGCACGCAGGGAGGTCAGATTACTCAGATGTCTGTCACACTGCAGTTAGGTGTCAAAGCACAAAAGGTAAACATACGAGAAACCCATCACCTGCAATAGCCCTACATGGAGCTGCTGAGCCAGCTGCAAAAGGGGACAGTGTGGTTCAGACCCACGTGTCTCCATTTCCTCTTATTTGCTCCCACAATAATAAGAATCCTTGCATTCTGTATCGTACCTTATCCCATCATCAAAACATCGCAAAGCAAGCACTTCACTGTAGTGACTGTGTATGTATTTTATGGGGGAAACAGAACAGCAGCCAGTTGTGCACAGCAGTGTCCCACAATCAGCTGTGGAGTGACAGATGTTATTGCCGGGGATTGTCATTGTCATGGGATCTTTAAAGTCCACCTGAACAGGCAGATGGAAACTCAGTTCCCCGTCTCATCCAAAGGACGGCAACTCTGGCAAAGCAACACCCCCAGCATTGCATTGGAGGATGCAAAACACGGATTTATTATAATAATAATAATAACGATGATAACGCTGAGGAGTGAGAGGAGGGCCGCGGCTGGTGTGTGGGTGTTTGTGGAAAAGGGCCGGGTTTGGGACCAGGGATTGGGACCAGGGACCCATCTCCACCCTGACCCCGCCCCAGCTCCACCCTGACCCCGCCCCCAGCTCCACCCTGACCCCGCCCCCAGCTCCACCCTGACCCCGCCCCCAGCTCCACCCTGACCCCGCCCCAGCTCCACCCTGACTCTGCCCCCAGCTCCACCCTGACTCCGCCCCATCTCCACCCTGACCCCACCCCCATCCTGACTCCGCCCCAGCCCCACCCCAACTCCGCCCCACACAGAGCCTAATAATAATCCTCCAAAACCAAAAACAATAATAAATCAATCTACGACTGTTTGTGGGACATTGCTGTGCGCAATTGGCTGCCGCGTTCGCCCACAAATATACAGTCAATTCACTTTACAGTGTGTTCTGTGAAGCGCTTTAGGACGTCCTCCCGACGTGAAAAGCGCTATATCAAATGCAAGGATTATTATTATTATTATTGGGACCAGGGACCGGGGATTAGGACCAGGGATTGGGACCTGGGATTGGGACCGGGGATTGGGACCGGGGATTGGGACCTGGGACCAGGGATTGGGACCTGGGACCAGGGATTGGGACCTGGGACCGGGGATTGGGACCAGGGATTGGGACCAGGGATTGGGACCTGGGACCAGGCCCCGCTCTCTCCTTTCTCCCTCACCCCCACAGGCCTCACCTTCCAGGGTCTCGCACTGCACCAGGTTCAGATAGTCCCCCTGGGACAGGATACCGGCTTTGAAACCTCTCACCAGCCCCTCCAGGTAGCCGTTGTCCACGTTAAAGTAGAGCTCGTTGAAGGACCCCATGTCGGAGCGAAGGGGAGAGCGAGGCCGCGCACCACAGGAAACACAGCCTCCTGACCCGCGCCGCTCACGTGACCGCCCGCCTTCCCATGTGACCGAGGAGACACTGCGCACGCGCTCCTCTCCCCTCCCCCCCCCCCCACCTCCCAGCCGCCGAGGCTACGGCCACTGCGCCTGCGCTCCTCTCCCCAAGCCACCGAGCCTGCAGCCGCCGCGCATGCGCTGCTCTCTTCCCCCGCCCCCTCACCAGCTACAGAGCCTGCAGTCACTGCGCATGCGCTGGGAGCTACTCTGCACACTGTTGTTGTTGTTGTTGGTGGTGGGGGCGGGGGAGAGCCCAGGGGGGTGACTGTCATTTACTGGGGTTTGCGTATCTCTGCAATAATAATAATAATAAAAATAAGTGCAATTGATATAGCGACGGATCACATTGTCGCGACGTCTCAAACCGCTGCTCAGTATACGCTGTAAAGTGATGTCACTGTTTTTTGTGGCCGAGTGCAGCAGCCAATTTGCGCACAGCGATGTCCCCCCCCCCCCCCCTCAAGGAGCCACGGGTCGAGCGACCAAATTCATTTGGAGGATTGTTGGCCGGGGCACCAGGAGCAGCTCACTTCATAGACTCATAGAATTATACAGCACAGAAGGAGGCCATTCGGCCCATCGTGCCTGTGCCTGTGCCTGAGCTAACCAAGTCAATCCCACTCCCCACCCCGCACCCCCCCCCCCCGCCCCGCTCTCTCCCCATAGCTCTGCAAACTTGTCCTCCCCAAATAATTACTCTCTTAAAAGCTGTTATTGAATCGGCTTCCACCACCCTTTCAGCCAATGCATTCCAGATCCCAATAACTCACTGGGTGAAAAAATTTCTCTGCAGCTCCCCTCTGTTTCTTTTAATAACTATTTTAAATCGGTGTCCTCGGGTTACCGACCCACCCGCCAGTGGAAATAGTTTCTCCTTGTTCACCCTATCGAATCCCCTCATAATTTTGAAAACTTCTATTAAGTCTCTTCTTAACCTTCTCTACTCCAAGGAGAATAATCCTAGTTTCTCTCGCCTCTCCTGATAACTGAAGTCCCTCATTCCTGGAATCATCCTGGTAAATCTCCTTTGCACCCTCTCCAATGCGTTGACATCTTTCCTAAAGTGTGGTGCCCAGAACTGAACACAGTCTCTAGCTGAGGCCTAACCAGTGTTATATAAAGATTCATCATAACTTCCTGACTTTTGCATTCTATGCCCCTATTTAAAAAGCCAAGTATCCCGGATGCTTTTTTTTAACAGCTTTATCTACCTCTCCTGCCACCTTCAAAGATTTACTTATATGAACCCGCAGGTCTCTGTTCCTTCACCCCCTTTAAGATTGTACCATCAGCTTATATTGCCTCTTCACATTCTTCCTCCCAAAATGCATTACTTCACATTTCTCCACATTAGACTTTATCTGCCACCTGTCTGCCCATTTTACCAGTCTGTTGCAGTCTGCTACTATCCTCCTCACTGTTTACTACTTTTCCCCAAGTCCAGGTCATTTATACAGATCAAAAGCAGCAGTGGTCCCAATACTGACCCCTGGGGGAAACCACTGCACACTTCCCACCAGTCAGAAAAACAACTGTTCATGACCACTTTCTGCTTTCTGTCTTCCAACCAATTCTGTGTCCATGCTGCCACTGTCCCTTTAATACCATTGGGCTTCTATTTTGAACAGTGCAATAGGATCTGTGATGTCCATCTGAACAGGCACTAACAGGACTTCTTATCCAAAGGATAGTACCTCCGACAATTCAGCGCACCTCAAGCACTTGGGAGTGTCAGTAGAGACTATATGAGTTTCAAAACCGAAGTGGGACTTTTTTTTGATCAGTTGGGTGTCTGACACATGTGGAAACCCACCATCATGCTTGAGTATCCAAACCAAAGTGAGATTTCCATACATCTCACCTACACATGAAAATTTTTCCTTTTTGAATGGAATGCGCATTCTCTCCTTGAGGATGGGGAAGCATCCTTCTTTCTTAATTCCAGACAGTATTAGGCACAGGCTGGCAGAACCTAAGGCTCTTGGGGATCCCAGAGTATGGGTCGCAGTACCGCGAGAGTTTACCAACTGAAATGACACAAGTCCTGCAAGTTTGCTGCTATTTGTACAGCTTCGACAACCCTACCCATTAGGGTTTTGGTTTGCAGGGTTAACAGGAGCTGGATGGGAAGAATCCCTGCTCCCTAGTGACTGGTCTGCCCTTCCAACAATAACTAAGCCGGTGATATATTTGTCACGCTGGTGTGGCTATTTACTCTTATAAACACTCAATTTGTAGATGTTCCTCATTCTTTCTACTGTATAACTTGCACTTTCTCAGGCTATAAGTATGGAAGCTTCTTTCTATTATAATTGGTGGCACGAGGAATAACCACGTGGAAAAATTATTTCTTTGCTGGGTGATATGACCAATTTATCTCCGGGACGCTACTCTGCATGAGAGGCACCATATAAATGCAAGTTGTTGTAACTATTAGCACCCCCGTTTTGCTATAACATCAACAACTTGCATCAATACAACAACCTTCACATACAGTAGGGTCTCACTTATGGAACACTTTACCATGGCGGGAATGGATGCCTAGTAAGGGGAAAGGAGAGGAGGTGACCAAAGGCTCAGTCGAAGAGGGACTTGAAAACAGATAGAAAGGCGGGGATAACTGGAGACCGCAGTCACTACCCTTATAAATAGCTAATTGTGTGAAGCGTTTTGAGCCATCTAATGTATTAAGCAGCTACATCAAGCACAAGCATTATTTTTGGTTTTTGTTTAATGTCAGGACATGTCGATCTGATGGGAAAAACATTGAGACCTGGCCTCTGGTTTTGTGTAATGAACGACGTTATTCAGTGCAAAAGGACATTGTTTGACAGCACTAAAGTACCTTTCAGGGCCTATCCTTATTAAAACGTCACTTGCATATCCGTTCTTAGCAAAAGCATGAAATTAAACTATAATCAGATGTTGGGAAAAGCAAATACCCTTTTCAGTTCTTAATGGATTTCTGATTGACTTTCATTAAAATGTTTTAGTCCACCTGAGTTGTTAGAATAACATAAATGCATCGTTTTGATTTTATTGACCTTTTTATCATGTATTTTTATTTGGATTACGTGGAGTCCAGTTATTCTGCTATTAGGCCACTCATGTGAAATAGTCCAAGTAATTGCTGTATTTTTACATTGAAAACTGTTTTTCTTGTTATGAGTATTTAATACCTTCCCCCACTTCCTCCTCCTAGAAGCTCAACACATCTCATAATAATAATCCTTGCATTTGGTATAGCCCCTTATCACATCTTCTAGACCTCTCAAAGTGCTTCACAGAATATACTGTGAAATATACTGGGCAACACGTCAATTGTGCACAGCAGTGTCCCACAAAACAGTCGTGGATTGAGTGAGCAAATTTTTTTATTTTTTGAGGAATTATTATCCCTGGAAAAGCAATCCGCCAATTGACTAACAACCGGGTTCCTTTTTACTGCTTAACAGAGGCGTATGGAATAAGCAAACGTGCCCGAAGTTTCGCCCTGCTGGGAATCAAACCCAGGTCCTCTTGCTAAAGAGGCAAGTGCTCTAACCACTAAGATACATCAACAACAACTTGCATTTATATGGCACCCTTCAAATGGGTGGTGTCTCAAAGCGCTTAAAGGCAAAAGAGAATATTCCACCCTAGCCTTAGCACCTCAGGCATTGACAGCATCAGCATCCACGGTTACGCTTTGAGACATTGACAGCCCAGAATTCCCTCTCATCTTTGCCAATTTTTAGCTTTCTCTTCAACCGTGCCTTCACCTCCCCTCTCAACTCTCTACCCTCTCCTCGCTCACTCCCTCCCTTCCCTCCCCTCACCCTAACCAGTTCCCCCCTGCTCGGGTCCCGACCCAACTGTCCAGCGCCTTGGAACGTCCTCCCGACTTGAAAGGCGCTCTATAAATGAAATCTCGTTGTTGTTGTTGTAGCTGGGAGAATTATTGGCTGGGAGACTGGGAGAAATTTCCTTCTCTTTTCGAGCAGTGCCATGGGATCTTTAATGTCCAGCTGAACTCTATGTAGTTGCATTTGTTGTACAAGTTATCAGATGTAAAACAAATTACTTTTTTAGGTGTAATCAAAGGTAAAAGCATGTAACCAAGAAGTTCCAATGGGAGGACACATAGCGATTGAGAGAGAGGAATGATCGTGGTGAGAGAGGAAGCTGTGGGTGTGCCTGCAATAAAGTTGAAAACGTTTGCAAGCTCGGAGTGGAAAGTGCTTTATTTTAATTGAGAGGTGTTACGGGTAGCGCACAGTGAAAATAGAAAATAAATGTGACCACGTGTAAGAAGTGTAAGAGTTCGCGGTAATTTCACCTTACATCCAAAAACCCGTGGTGTAGTGGTTAGCTCACTGGCCCGCAAGCAAGAGGACCTGGGCAAAACCTTAAGCAAGTTTCCTTACTCCACACGCCTCTGTTTACCTAGCAGTAAATAGGAACATGATTGTTAATATATTGGCGGATGACTTTCTGGAGGGTAATAATCCCTCAAAAAAAAACGTTGGTCACTCAATCTATGACTGTCTGTGGGCCGCACGTTGGCTGCCGCGTTTCGCCCACAAAATATACGGTCATTTCACTTTACAAAATATTCTGGGAAGCGCTTTCAGACGTCCCGACGACATGATAAGGCGCTCTATCAAATGCAAGGATCGTTATTATTCTAATTATTATTATTATTAACAAAATAAACTATCGACATTGCCTTCGTGCAAAGGTAACCTGGAGTGAGTTTTTTAAAAAAAAAAATTTTCCTGTTGTCTTGTACATTTCAATTACACTCGGTATCAGAGGCAACCACTTGTTTTGCTTTGGCGTCACAGCAGCTGAGATATATAATAGGCTGTCAGAGTTAGATCCAAAAGAAGAGAACGAAAAGCTGGGACTCACATCACTGTGTTGCTCTCACTTTACATAGCGATTGGTGGGTGAAAGCCTATGGTTTACATACTTGTATTTTTAAAGCAATATTGATGCTGTTTGATTGAAGCAGTTTCTATTTCTTAGTAATGAATCCGATTCTATTTATTCAGTCTAATAAGTTTGGCACTTGACATGTGTATGCGACTACCATGATGGTTGAAGGCGAACTGGATGGATCTTGGTCTACTTTCTCCTAGCAAGTTCTTATGTTCTTATGTTTAATTTGCCTCTTAAGTTTTAATGTGCCTTTTATTTCCAGCTCTCTAGGCAGCATGTTGCACATGGTGATCAGGTACTGGTTGGCTCTGCACGCAGCGCAGGTCGTTCTCACCACCAGTTGTGCTGAAGTGGATGAGCTGAACTTTACTGTCATGCGGGATGCCGTGGCGAGAGATGTGGATTTGGCTTTGGTCAGGGAGATCAAGGCTCCAACAGGTACCTGTCACCTTCCCCGTTCCACACTCACATACATGTAACAAAGTGTGAGCGATAGGTGATGCTTAAAATTCAGACTGCAAATACGAAGAGTCAGTGGTTCGGTTGCATTATGTTTTTCATTTGAGCAAAGTTTGGTGTATGTGTGTGTGTGAGTGGGGGTGGGGAGGGGTATAACTACAATGAGATGTTGCTGAATTTAAATTAGAAAATCTCTTGAAAACATGACCGATTGAAAACGTAAATGTGAAAAAAAATATGAATACATATTGTGCAGAGTGTGAAAGTGCAGTGTTAGCATTAGTTTTTCCTTGCAGTTAAGTGCTAGTTAAAGTGTTCTATAAATTACCTCAGAGATGCTCAAGGATACATGCTAGACTTACGTTTAGATATGTTATACGGGCAACTGTTTTGTATTGCACCAGATTAAAATATCTCAAAGCTGGTAACTAAACCCCAGGTTTTAATTTATTATTCATTGGAGTTAGTTGTTCAGCACCTTGGGACGTCCTCCCAATGTGAAAGGCGCTATACAAATGTCATCTGTTGTTGTTGTTGCTTGTTGCTAGCTGCTTGGCAGAGACATTAACACCTGAGGCCAGAAATTCTACCTGGTCTCAGCCTGGAACATCCCACAAAATCATGGAAAATTCCAAAATTCATTCATCCAAAATTCCAAATTCATTCAAAAAAAAATTCTCAAAATGTAAGTCAATGTGGTGGTTCAGTCTAAGACTAGGTGGAATTTCAGGCCTTCAATACATAGCTTAATTATTTTAATCACCTGATGCTGCCTTTTACTTTTGTTATTAAAAGTTTGCAGGGAGTTGTTCAGATGCAGAAAAGGATCATTCACTGGCTCAGAGGCTGTATTTTATTCGTTGGCAGATGAGCAACATTCAGTAGAAATAACACTTTATGTTTTGCTGATGTGCATCCTGCACAATTCAAAGCAGATTCCAGTATTTTAATGTTGTGAATGTATTTGATCCAGGTCTGATGTCAAGCTCTGTGTTCCAAACACCAACGGACTTAATCAAGGAGCCTTGGCTGGAGAACATACTTGACCCTGAGGTAATTGTGTCTATATTGCAGTACACCACAGCTTCCTCACATGTAATAATCCTATAATCCTTGCATTTGATAACCCCCTGCTCGCCGGACTTCCCAACTCTTTCCTCCACAAACTGCAGATTATTCAGAACTCTGCAACTTGTGTCCTCTCCCGTACCACGCTCTGTGAACCGATTACCCCCATCCTCACCCGGCTCCACTGGCCCTCCGTCTGTTAGAAGTTCGAGTTTAAAATCCTTATCCTCACTTTTAAAGCCCTCCGCGTCCTTCCTCCTCCCTACCTCTGCGATCTATTCATACTGTACCAACCTGTCCACTCCCTCCACTCGGCGGGCACTGGCACTGGCTCATGCCCCCACCCTGCCTGCTCTACCATTGGAGGTCGGGCCTTCAGCTTTTCTGCCCCCACTCTTCAGAACTCCACCTCGGAATCCCTCTGCTCTGCCCCCGGTTTGCCTCTTTCAAGGCTCATCTGAAGACCTTACTCTTTGATCGTGCTTTCAACTACCCTCCTCACCCTCCACCCCTCTTGATTCCAACCCCCAGCTTGGGTACATTTATACAGTGCCTTTCACGTCAGAAGAATGTCCCAGAGCACTGGACAGTTTAGGGTTTGCACCCCTGTTACTCTCAATCAATTTTATAGCAATTCCACACTTAAGATCTAATGGTTCGATTTAAACCATCTTGCAGGTCATATCTAATGCATTGGAGGTTGAAAACAGATCTGCACGCTCCCCCAGAAGATGTATCCGACATCTGGAGTCCTGCTTTGATTACTCGATGCCCTGCTGTGACCCATGCGCCACTTGTTACTGCAGGTTTTTTAAAGCAATTTGTTATTGCCGGAAAATTGGCAACATCTGCCACCGCGGTAAGAACTAGTCCAGTGTGATCCTGGAGATCGGAATATTGCGCACACTGGGAAATGGAAAGAAATGGAACGGTCACGGACAAAATGTTAACCTTTTTTTTTCTCTTTTGGATGCTTTCCGACCCGACATTTATTCCTGCTGATCGCTCAATATTTCTAACAAAATTGCCTGCTCTCAATTTAGGCTGTGTTAATGTTTCTGTGTGAGACGTATATTTTTGCAGCTGAAATAAACTGATTACGCACAAGACGGAAGCAAGTTATCCTCTCGTTATTCTCAAAGAGTACAAGGCACGATCAATAGGGGTTAAAGATTACAGCGCCCGTTGGTGTCCAGCTTGGTCTAAACCAGGTTTAAGCACACGTAAACTGGAAAGAATCGTCTATAAAGTGCCTGTGGTGGCTCAGTGTAAGAGTCTCGGAGGTAGAGGAGTCGGGTATAATCAAAGAGGTAGGGAGGTGCTAGGGCACAACAGGGGCTGTATCAAATGTAAGCATTATTAGTTTCATTGAAAGATCGCGTTGTTTCAGGACTTTGAGCGGAAATTCTAGGCTGACATTCCAGTTTAACAATGTGGGTGTGCTGCACTGTCGGAGGTGCTGTACTTTAGATGAGATGTTAAATCAAGGTCCTGTCTGCGAGTTCAGCTGAACAAAAAGAAGAAAAAAAAAGGTCACTCAACCCACGACTGTTTGTGGGACACTGCCTGTGCTCAATTGGCTACCACATTTCCCCCACGCAATATACGGTCAATTCACTTTACCTCATATTCTATCAAGTCCTTTGAGACGTCTCGAGGACGCGATAAGGTGCTATATCGAATGCAAGGATTATTATTATTTATTAGAACGATAAACGTCTTGTGTACTATTTGAAAATAGAAGGGAGTTTCTCCCTTTCCCTCAGTGTCCTAATCAATAATTCTTCCACCCCCACCCCCCCCCCCCCCCCTATAAAACAAATTGGTCATTCACTTCATAGCTATCCATGGGACACTGGTGGACACAAATTGGCTGCAAGGTTCACCTGCTAATGTAGTTTACAGAAAATTACGTGAAACACTGATAAAACACTACATTCTATCATTCTAGGATGCTAAATGGAACAGAGATAATAAACCCAGAATAGGACAAGAAGGCACAGGAAACTGCTAAAAAAAAATCCAAATAAGCAACATAACTCACTATCACAACATTAATATAATCAATAACTCTGTTAAATATCATTGGGAAATTTCTGGCGAACGTAAAGAGCTGTTAGCGATTGTTAAAGCATTCTCTGAAGCAGCTTTGCAGTATAATTAAATAACCACAATGTGGCAGTCTAAGCCCAAACAAATGAAAAACTAACCTGCGTATCTCAAACTGCAGCAATCATTGCAACAACTTGCACTTATATAGTTGTGCATCATATCTCGGAGCTCTCGTGGTTGAATATTAAAGACAGATTGAGAGGGGATGAGACCGAGGGGGTAGAGAGCCTGAGTTCCAGAGGTTAGGGGCATAGAACCTGAAGAATTGGCCATCAATGGAGAGGGTATGAGAAAGTGGATCCTGGTGAGGATAGGGTGACGGGGTGCCTGAGTTTGGTGTAGGTTAAGATGTGGGCGGAGGAGGTTTGGATAAGTTGCAGTTTATGGAGCACCAGGTCACAGAGATATAACTTCTAATGAATATCATTTTGGATTATTTCATCTCGTCCCTCCCAAAGGACCAACTCCACTACCTTTGCAGCATTAGGAGTCCTGTAGCTCAGTGGTTAGAGCACATGCCTTGCAAGCGAGAGACCTGGGTTCTCTTCCCGGCAGGGCGAAATGTTGGGCAAGTTTCCTTTCCCCACATGCCTCTGCCTACTTAGCAGTACGTAGCAACCTGGTTGTTAGTCAATTGGCGGATCGCTTTTCCAGAGATTTGGCCACTCAATCCACCACTCTTTGTGGACTGCTGTGTGCAATTGGCTGCCGCGATTCGCCCACAAATATATGTCAATTCACTTTACAGTATATTCTGTGAAGCGCTTTGAGACGTCTAGAAGCCGTGAAAGGCAAGGATTATTATTAGTAGTATTATTATTATTATCAAGCTGTTTCTTAAAATAAGTGCAGTGTTCTAGCCTCAACCATCCTTGCTGGTAACCGATTCCAATGGTTGACTAACATCTGTATAAAGAAATTGTTCCACTTTATCACATTATTGGCATTTGCCACCTGTTCTTTCTTGAGCTGTTCTGGATTTACTTCCCACGTCTTATCCAGCATTTTATATTTTATATATTTTATATTTTGCGCAATTGGCTGCCATGTTTCGCCCACAAAATATACAGTCAATTCACTTCACAGTATATTCTGTGAAGCGATTTGAGATGTCTCGAAGATGTGATAAGGTGCTGCATCAAATGCAAGGATTATTATTATTATTATATTTATTATATTTCTCTGGCACTATTTGAAAAGAAAACAGAGTTTTGTCTGGTATCCTGGCCGACAAAACATAATTGTTTATTTGCTCCATGGCTTTGTAGGAACACTCTGCACAATTTGTAGACGAACGTGGCAGCCACTTTGCGCGTAGCAAACAGCCATGAAGTGATTGACCAATGTTATCTGGGGGATTGTTGGTCAGGACACCACAGAGAAACTCCGTTCTCTTTTCGGCTATCGCCACAGGATCCTTAACGTCCCCCCGAACAGGCAGACGGGACCTCGGTTTAACATCTATTCTAATATTGGAACATGAATTATTGTTAGAAGGCTTAATTTCAATTAAGTCAGATCCCTTCTCTGTGTCTGGATCTTAACTTCTATTCAAACCCAAATAACACACACGAATATGACACAATCATTTACAAGGTCGAGCCTGTATTTAGCAATCCATCAAATAGCCGTGTGGTGAATGTTGTTTGCTGCAGCTGTTTGGGATTATACCAGATGAATGGAAAAGCTACGTTACCTTTTGGTATCTGAAAGGATCAAAATTCATTCCTTTTCAAAAGTAACTTTAGACAAAGAAACAATAATAATAATTTCATTTGATATGTCGCCTTACATCGTCGAACTGTCTCAAAGCGCTTCACGCCATTTTTCCTCTAAAGTGCAGTGACTTTATTTGTAGACGGACACGACAATCATTTTGTAACACAGAGATGTTGCATAAATAGCTGGGAAGTGAGTGGCCATTTTATCTTAGCCAGAACATTGGGAGGAGCTCCCTTCCCTTTTCGAATACAGATCAGCCATGATCTGTTGGTATTTTTTCTGTTGGTCCATGATCTTTTGGTACCCTTTTTGGTACAGATCAACCATGATCTAATTAAATGGTGGAACAGGCTCGAAGGGCTGGATCTCCTCTTCCTATGTTCGTATGTTCCTATGAGTAGTGCCTCGGGACTTTTAACATCCATCTGAACAGGTATTAAGCATACATTGTTACTTACCTATAGTCGGAAGAAAACTCATTTTCATTTTGAAATGTGTAGAATTAACTTATACTTGAAGTCTTATCTCACTCAAGTAGTGGCTCAAATTTCTCCCCTCTTTTTTCCTTCTTTTGGATATAATTCTAATTCAAATCTCCTCTCTGTCTCCCCAATGATATGATATGATCCAATATGATACAATTACAAAGAATGTACAGCACAGAAACAGCACAGTCCATGCCAGTGTTATACTAATTTTGAAATGTTTTTATACTTCTATATACTTCTGTAAACCTTCTATACTTACCTCAGAGTGTGTAATAATAATCCTTGCATTTGACTTAATTGAAGCTTCCTTCTAACAATAATTCACCCATGCCTTTACTCCCTCCCAAACCCTCCTATTCCCTTCTCCCTCATGTGAAGGTCCTCTTGAATGGCAGCTACACTATCTGATTGAAACACCATTTCAGACAGCGAATTCCACAATCTCACTATCCTCTGCGTGAAACAGTTCCATATGATATGATATGAGGGAGGTTTGAAGACGTTCGTAATCAAATGCCGACCTCATATCAATCACGGTAGAGGTGATTTCACCTATAAAACCTCGATTGTAAATGAAACCTTTGTGCAAAGTCTTTACAACCAGGAGAGACAATAAAGGCGCCATTTGAAACCTTCAAATGTATTGTATCAAGTTGCACAGAAAAGTTGCTCATAGAAGAAAATGACAGCACCAAAACAGGATGTGTGGCCCATCAGTCCAGAGCTGGTATTTTTCCACACATGAGTCACCCAGTCTAATCCATTCCTAATGCTCCTCTTTTTCAAGCATCTAAGTTAGAGCACTCGCCTCACAAGCGAGAGACCTGCCAGAGCGAAACGTTGGAAAAGTTTCCTTACTCCACCCGCCTCTGTTTACCTAGCAGTAATGTAGGAACCTGGTTGTTAGTCGATTGGCGGATCGCTTTTCCGGGGTTAAGTAAAGTAAATTTTACAGGATATTTTATGGGTTAAACATGGCAGCCGTAAAATTCACTTTACAGTGTATTCTGTGCTGCGCTTTAAGATGTCTCGAAGACGTGATAAGGCGCGATATCAAATGCAAGGATTATTATTACACTCTCTAGGTAAGTATAGAAGGTGAATCAAGGTGTTTTACTCTAAAAAACATTCGCTGACCCGCATTTCTTTTGATGCACATGTTACACTGAAGGGAGACTCTGCCTTTACTGTCAGATGCTATCCCAATATAATTTTTCCTGGGAGATTGTTGGTCAGGACACCAGGTGAACAAGTTCCCCCAAATAAAATCGGTCACTCACTCCATGACTGTGGAATATTAATATGTGCTATATTGCTGCCGTGTTCACCCACAAAATACACAGTCACGCCACTTTACAGTATATCTGTGAAGCACTTGACGCATCTCAACAGCGCGATAATGTGCTATACCAGGTGCAAGGATAATTAATATTCTATGAACTCAGCCACCTCAGGGTTGGAGGCAATGACTTTCAATGGCAACATCTGACGTTTTTCTTTATGTGCATCTTAACCTTGTCAAGTGTACAAGAAAAGCACACACACAAAGTTATTAATCTATCAAGATCTCTACGGTGAAAGAAGCTTTGATCAACATCTTGGGAAGAAGCCATGTGGTGAAAGAACTCGGTTACCACGAGTTATCTGATGATTATCAGCTTTCAATCTTCATTCAAAAATAAAACTCATCGAATGTTTAACTGTCCTTTGTCGCTTAACATGGATCAAGGTTCTGACTTTTCGGAGAAGTTTCAAAGACTGATCACTAACCCTTTAATTAGACATTTGAATTCTTTGATTTATAAGAATCCTTGCACTTGCGCTCCTTATCACGGCGTCGAAATATTTCAAAGAGCTTCACAGGATTTACTGTAAAGTGTAGAGACTGTGTATTTGTATGGTTATTGCAAAATCAGCGTGCAGTAGCTTATGTGATAAGCATCAAAATAAAATCATATTGCAATTAATAGGGTTTCAATGCATCAATTTACTTGATTTAATCTACCTTGTGCCTGATTTCCTTTCTTTTTTTTGGAATCATATGGGATCAGGAGCAGCTGCGTATTATCTTTTAACCGGTCTTATCAGTGGTGGTTTGCTTATCCTTGAATCTATTGATTAGATCAAAGATACAGTGGTCAAAGTGCAGATTACAAACAATATAAAAGTGGCCACCTTTGCTTACAGCTCAGATCACTCTCAGCCATGACTTCCATTAGACTCTTCTTCTGTCTTGCATTCATAGCTACTACTTATGGTAAGTCGGACTACTTCATTCAATGATTCAGCCATGATCTAATAGAATGGCAGAACAGACTCAAGGGGGTGAATGGCCAAGTGCTGGCAAATTGCTGTTGGAGCTGTATTTCACCATGGAATAGAGGGAGATGTGGCTGAATCTTAATCGTTGATAATATTTTACTGAATTCTTTGAGTACTCGGTGAACTGTGATCAATTTTTACAACACCAGCTTTTATTGCAGGCTGCGGTGTGCCAGCCATCAAGCCTGTGGTCACCGGCTACTCGAGGATTGTGAATGGCGAGGAGGCAGTACCAGGGTCCTGGCCCTGGCAGGTGTCCCTTCAGGTAACTCACTCTGGCTTCCTCTCATAGACATCCTGCCATCAGTGCCGCAATTCACAGTATCACTGTGTTCAGAGGCAGAAACTGTAGTGCAAAACAGTAAACTCCTGATAACTCATTGCTCTAAGGGAAAGGAGCTGTGTGACTAGTTATCCAGAGTGGCGAGTTAGACATGTGTATAAATAAATACATCAATAAATGCGGTCGGAATATTAACAATATGATGACTTCAGTGGTATGATAGATTAAACCAGAGTCGAGTTATCAGTATTCTTCTGTTCTTCACAAACTCTCTCTCTTTCTCTCTCACTCACTGTTTCTCTCTTTCTCATAGAGGGATAATAGAGTAGGTTTGTGATTAACACATGTCTCAACCATCCCTTGAATGTTAATATAAGTAAACATGCGTAGCCAACAATGAGCCTTCCTATGCTGAGAATCTGTTCTTTTGTCCTTACTGAAGGATGCAACTGGTTTCCATTTCTGCGGTGGTTCTCTGATTAAGGAAAACTGGGTCCTCACTGCTGCCCACTGTGATGTGAGGTAAGTCTGAACATCATACAGAATCCCAATAACAGGTATCTCTAGCTTTATACAGCCCTTCTAAAGGCTAGTTGCTGTGTTTCTCTGTCTGCAGCGTTAACAAGCATTATGTAGTCCTTGGTGAGCACAACAGGAGGTCCTCGGATGAGCCAATACAGATGAAGACCATCGCCAAGGTGCGTGTATGTCCAGAGTTACTCTTGGCCACATCACTTGTTTTTCAATTAAGATTGACTTCAAACCCATTGAGCAAATGCAGGTAATTGGAGTTGAGGTAGACATTAGCCATGATCTAATAGAATGGCAGGACAGGCTCGAGGGGCTGAATGGCACACTCCTGTTCCTATGTTTCAATCATGTTCAACGTACAATGTCTTATGGCGACTGGGAAGAGCAGCCAAACACACTGATGGAATTGTGATAATATCTGTAATCTAAGAGGAGGTTGCCAACGAGTATTTATGTGTGCTACATTGTTCAGGAAGGCATCATAAGGCTTTTGTGCAAAGACTCCAATTCAACTAAAGTAGTGTAGGATTACTTATTGTACAAGCAAGGAAGCTTCCATGTTAAAGGCTCTGGTCCAGATTGAGTTACCTTATCTCAGCTGGGACCATGACGGTCTTTCTATGCTATTGTATAATTATCAGAGTCAGGCTCCGCCACTGCTAAGCACTCTGAGATGTTACCCTGCATGGAGGGCACCATATAAGTGCAAGTTGTTGTTGTATTATATTGGAATGTTTCCCTTTCCTGGCCACTTGTAGGTCTTTACTCATCCTGGATGGAGTCGCCGGACACTGCAGAATGACATCGCTGTAGTAAAGCTCTCAGATCCTGCTGACCTCACTCTCCACGTGTCTCCCGTCTGCCTGCCCGCTGCAACAGATGACTTTCCGGCATCCATGAAGTGTGTTACATCCGGATGGGGCATGACTAACGCCAATGGTATGGCATGTTAAAGGTCCGGGCGAGAGACCATCTCGCCAGCCGCACGTGTCCCAGACAACAAAAGGAAAGCTAAATAATGGAAAGTCCTAGAGATCCGCAATTGAGCGCAGTTCGTACAAAAAAATTATGGTCGACATTACATTTGTGCGCGCAACCGTTCCAAACTTCCGAGAAAATGTTCCGATGAAGCACAGGCAGCCCCCCCCCACCCCAAACATTGCCGGAGGAATGCCTAGCAATGGAAGAGATTGCACGTGGGGTTTTACAATTCTACATGGTCAGAGATTTTTGAATGATTTCACAAGCAAAAAGCTAAGTGAAACTTTGGGGTTCTGCAAATGTGTTCAGCATCCTCCCGACTTGAAAGGCGCTATACAACTGTAATTTGTTTTTGCGGTAGAGACTAACAGCAATAACTGCTCTCTCTCTCTCTCTGTTGTGCTTTTCAGCGTTCATTTCTCCCAGTAAACTGCAGCAGACAAGTCTTCCCCTCCTCAGCAACATGGACTGCCAGGAGTACTGGGGTGACAAAATTAGTGGCGTCATGATCTGTGCTGGTGGGGCAGGTGCTTCCTCCTGTATGGTAGGTTACCTGTTTATTTCAGATGTGTGTGGCCACATCTCAAGCAACGGCTAACAGCATTTGCTGCAAGATCACAAGATTGTTTGGCATGAAGAAGGCCTTTTGGCCCACCTAATCTCATCCCCTCATCCCACCCACCCAGAATACTCACTCTACAATCCACCCATCACAGCATCAAGCTGTTTCTCAAAATGAGCCCTTGCGTCTTGGTCACCAAATTACAGTGACTACACTTTACCAGTGAATCCTACGATAATCTTTGAGACATCTTCCCCTTATGAAAGGTGGAATATCAAATGTATCGTGGAGTCCTGCAGTGTATTGGTTAGAGGGCTCGCCTCCCAAGCGAGACGACCTGGGTTTGATTCCCCAGGCAGGACGAAACCTTACGCAAGTTTCTGCATGCCTCGGTTTACCTAGTCAATTGGTGGATCACTTTCTGGGGGTAGTCATCGATTTTTTTTAAAAAAATATAATAATTTGGTCACTCAATTCATGACTGTTTGCAGGACACTGCTGTGCGCAATTGGCTGCCGCGGTTCGCCCACAAATTACACCGTGTGAAGCACTTTGAGACGTCTCAACGATGTGATAAGACGCTATATCAAATGCAAGGATTATTATTGTCATCATTATTATAGCTCTGATGCTCTGTTGTTCCAGGGGGATTCAGGAGGTCCTCTGGTCTGTGAGATGGACAACTCGTGGCATCTGGTCGGTATTGTTTCCTGGGGTAGCAGCGGGTGCTCCACCGACTTCCCTGGCGTTTACGCTCGGGTGACTAAATTCCGAGCTTGGGTTGATGAGATCCTTGCTGCTAATTAAGTGTAACATGAATGTAAAAATAAAATGCATTTGCAAAAAAACTTTCAGTCTGTTTTCAGTCCGTGTCTCTCTCTCTCTCTCTCTCTTGGGTCAAATTAACTTAAAATTATCCATTCCAAATCTGAATATCACATTGAATAACTGAGAATCGTTTTCAGGACGGTTTGACCGTTCAAAAGTGCCTCCGCCATCTTATGTAACATCAAAAGTGATTACATCAGTTGATATCCCTGAGGGTGAGGGTATCAGTTGGTGAACCCGGCTGCGGTTCAAAAGAAAATGCCAATAATTGTTGGGTAAGTGAATGGTTGAAGAGATGAAGCAAATATACTGAATATTCTTTGCTTTTGATACAGCACCTTTCATGTCAGGGGAATGTCTCAAAGTGACTCAAGGGACTTAACGCGAAGTGTAGCGACTGCGTCTTTGTAGGCAAACGTAGCACCCAATTTGCACACATCCATGTCCCACATACAGCCATGAGGTGAATGACCGATTCTATTTGGGGGGAATCACTGACGAGGGCATCGGAAGAAACTCCCTCCTCTTTTCAAACATTGCCTTGGATACTTTGACATCCACACCTGAACAGGCGGATGGGCCCCCAATTGAATGTCTCAGCTGAAGGACGGTACCTCCAACAATGCAACGCTCCACTAACACTGCATTGGAGTGTCAGCCTAGGATTATACAAGCAGGAATTTCTGATTCGAACAGGGAAGTAAGAGTGCTACGAACTGAGCCAGGCTGGCAACACGAAAGAGTAATATCAAGGCGTCAAAAGACATGCTCCTGGAAAATGTTATTGCTCACATGGAATGTGCATAGGTCACTGGGCTCCTCTACAGATAACAATGAAGTTGCAGCACAAATGGGTTCAACAAAGTGTGTTTCTGGAGGGGAAAGATTTGAGGGAGACTGTGAACAGTTGGATTCAGAATTGTGAAAGGAATGATACATTGGAGGTTAGTGATTTCTTCCAGTACTTAAACGTTCTTATGTTCATGACGATTATGAGCTCCGTCCCTCAACTTTGGGGACCAGGCTTGTTATGATCAGGTGTTACAGAAAATTATTGAATTTCTATTTGTGCAAAAACATTTCAATGACATTTGACCTGTATTCTGTAATTTATTTGGAAACGAATCAGCAACACATTCACATCTTAATGTTCCTTTTATCTCTCTAATCTGCCTTATTTTTGATCTTGTTCCAACATCTAAAGGTCAGGGTGACAGCAACATATAAAACCATGGGGTTCCTTCCACCACCACATCATTGCAGCCATGGCGTTCCTCTGGCTCCTCTCCTGCTTCGCTCTCCTCGCCGCCTCTCATGGTAATCCATTTTCTTCTGCTGTTCTGAAGTTAAATGGAGAATTTCGTTTCCGTTTGGGCACAATGAAACTGACGTGATTCCTTCCTCAATCCAGGCCTTCAATGTGGTTTGCCCTCCATCTCCCCTGTGATCACGGGCTATTCACGAATTGTAAACGGTGAAGAAGCCGTGCCTGGCTCCTGGCCCTGGCAAGTCTCCTTCCAGGTACATAGAGATACGTGGAGTGATGCAAGGTTCATTCATATGCACTTGTATTTAAAATTGTTCCAATTTATTACAACTCACAGAGACACTGGGAGAGGGGAATAGAAAGGTATGGGAGGGAGGAAGGAATGGGCAAAGTCTTGTGTGGAGTAAAAACAGTGGCACAAACTGATTGGGCTGAGTTTCTATTCAATTCTTTTTAATTGGACATCAGAGACCAACAGCACACATAGCACTGATCTTATCATAGACACGCAACATTTTTCAGCACAGAAGAAGGCCATTTGTTCATCGTGCCTTTGCTGGCTCTATGTTTAGTTCTACTTCTATTTTATATTGTATTATATATTTATATTGTTTATATTTTTCCTTCCCAGATATTCTCTTAATAATCAATTGCACATTCTGCTTCAACCATCGTTTTTAGTGGGGCAGTGCTGGGGTAAATTCCACCAGGATTTACATTCACTCTATTAACATACTATTTCAGAGCGTCTGGAAGCTGGTAAATTGTTGATTTCAGCCTTAACTTTGAAGCCGTTTTCCTATAGCCCTTAAGACTTTATTTAACACCTTGTCAAATTCCAGGTTCGCAGAATTGCTACGTTAATAACAACAACAACTTGCATTTATATAGCATCCTCCACGCCGGGCAGCGTCTCAGAGCACTTGAAATTAATAGAGTAAACACGGTGGAATTTTACCCCATCTATGTCCTATTTAGGATCAAACACAATTTTCCTAATCCTAATTTTATTTGCTAAATTCATAGCTCATCCTTCTCTACTCAAGTAGAGTCCTATTAGGTCGTTAAAGGCTGACAGGATATTGTTCTAGACATTGTAGAGGTCTATTAGCTCTTTATTTGTTTGTATCCTTTAGATGCTGGCTGTCTTGTTGGGCAGTGTTGTTCACATTAGCATCCCCACACTAAGAAAAGTTCTGAGTGACGCTCATCACTTCAGAAATTACTTCCATCTCTAAGTTCTGGTTTTGATCTTTTGTTTCAAAAAGAAGGAAGGAAGGAAAGAAGGAAGACCAGGAAACATTTCTAGATGAGTTTTTCTCCTCCCTCAGAATATTTGAAGACTTATAAAGCAAAGAAGCTTAAATAAAGCCCATTTCAAATCAAAAAAAATCTTTTGATGTATCTCATAGTCTTGTGTTAGTTGATATTTGCTTGTATGACAGGACTACAGTGGCTGGCATTTCTGTGGTGGTTCCCTGATCAATGAAAACTGGGTTGTCACTGCTGCTCATTGTGGTGTGAGGTAAGTCGTGGTACAAAAATAAGACAGAAAATAATTGATCTCCGAAGCTTCATTAGTGAAGGCTTAAGAGTTTGCTTCCTGTGCCAGCTTCCTGGGACACAGGGATCCTGAAGATTTTGCTTTGCTTACTGTGTTATCTGGTTTGTCTTTTTTTGTCTGAAATAGTACAGGGGACCGAGTGATCTTAGGGGCACACGACAAAAGTTGGACGGAACCAACCCAACAAGTCATGTCTATTGAAAGGGTATGTACAGACCCTGGGGTTTTCTAAAGGTTAGCACTCAGTACGGTCTCAATTGATTTGAATAATAAATAACATCAATAATAATCTTTACATATAATACAGCACCAATCACATTGGGACTACACCTCAAAGCGCTTCAACGGATATGCTGTAAAGTGCAGCGACTATGTATTATGTAGAACGCCCACAATGTAATAATAATAATCCTTGCATTTGATACAGCGCCTTATCACGTCTTTGAGACCTCTCAAAGCGCTTCACAGGATATACTCTGAAGTGAATTGACTGTATATTTTGTGGATGAAACGCGGCAGCCGATTGCGCACAGCAGTACTGATATAATTTGTATTGATGTGAGAGGGGGAAAGGGCGGTGTGGTGTGTTACTTGACTTGAGCTGACATTTCTCATAATCTTAGCCAAAAGACCACTGACTTAAAATGAAAGACCATTGCAGAATTTGGGGAAAATTCTTACCTTCAGCCTTAATTTTGAAGCAGGTTTTCCACAGTTCCTTTTAATACTGAAGTTAAGCTGATTGTAAAAAAAAAAGCTTCGGTTTTAAGACAACTCTCCTGAGCCAAAACCCAGAGGAATTTCGAGCCTCTGATAGGGACATTGGCATCAAAAAGAATTTGTAGAGATTGAAACCTGCTCAATCAAATTGGGTTAGCCCTGTTGACGATATAATTTTATAACATTAATTAAGAAAATAACTCCCCCCATACTCTGTGTCTGTGTTACAGGTGTTCACTCATCCTGATTGGAATTCCTACACCATCAACAATGATGTGTCCGTAGTGAAACTCAGATCCTCCCCAGCAATCACAAGTCGTGTATCCCCCGTGTGTCTCACAACAGGAGACTTTGCTGGAGGCACCATGTGTGTCACCACTGGATGGGGCAGGACTCGAGCAAGTCGTAAGCCAATGTCATTTTTTTTTGCTATCAATGTGATAACTATTAATGTTTCTGCTCACATTGGATGTCACTCTGACTGGACTTTACTATGTATCCTCCTCTGGTGGGAGGGGAGGTCGGGGGGGAGGTAAATAAGGTTTCCTTGGAGCTCAGTTGGCTCGCAAGGGTTTGACCAGCTAGCCTGGCTCATCGGCAGGACTTGGAGGAGCGGACCGCTCGCTCGCTAGAAGCAGAGATTCTTCCCGCTTAGCTCCCATTCGCAATGGCGAGGGCAAACGATGAGGTTTTAGCTGGTAAAACGGCAATGACGATACAAATCACGATAAAAATTGACATTTACATGGCGCCTTTCAGGTCGAAAGGATGACCAAGTCGCTTCAAAGCACAACGAGTGTTATAAAGTGACCGTCCTTGCCTTTGATATAGCGCCTTATCACGTCATTGAGACGTCTCAAAGCGCTTCGCTGAATACACTGCCTTTGTGTATTTTATGGACAATTTTCTTTTAACAATCAAACATTTCTTTGGTCACAGCAGTCGGGGAAACAAGCATTTTTTTTTTTTTAATCGGTGTCGGTGCCGAAATGTTAGTGTAATTCTCACTGACCTTTGCAAACATTGTCCAGTTGAAACAAATGCACGTTTTCTGCTCTTCCTGCAGCTGCCGAGCGTCCAACAAAACTGCAGCAGGCGACCCTGCCTCTGCTAACCAACAGCAATTGCAAGGGCTACTGGGGCAATCAGATCTCCGACGTCATGATCTGTGCCGGGGCAGACGGTGCCTCGTCCTGCATGGTACGACAGTGTTTGCATCAGAGATATTTCAGCCCTTGCTCCGCCGTGACAACCGCTGCTCTCTGTTCCACCGTCTACCGAGGGAACCTGTTCCGTGTATTTACTAGTCGCTCATTGACGAGGCTTTTCCGCTGATTTGTTTTGAATTTAACCGCGTTCAATCGCAGGCCATGTCCTCTCGTTCTACTGTTCTGTGTAAGACAAAACAGCTTATTGTGGTCTGCGTTATCTAGTCCCTTTAGAATCTCGAAGACCGCAATCACATCGCCCCTAACATAAACAGAAACGTAAGCAATAACTGCTGCTCTCTGCTCACAGGGTGACTCTGGAGGTCCTCTCATCTGCCAGAAGGATGGTGTGTGGAACCAGGTTGGCATCGTTTCCTGGGGCAGCAGCAGCTGCTCTACCAGTATCCCCGGGGTCTATGCCCGAGTGACTGAACTCAGGGGCTGGATCGAGCAGATCATTGCAGCCAACTGATCGCCAGCTGAAATTTTACAATAAATTCATTTGAACTCACGTTTCTTTAATGCCTCCTTTCATGTGAATCCATTTACAGTCCAAAGCCTCGGGAGCCAAAGTCGAGTTGCTCTGATACACCACATTCTCTAACAATAATAATTATAATAATCCTCATAATAGATTGGTCACTTCAATCCACGATTGATTGTGGGACACTGCTGTGCACAATTGCTGCTGGGTTTCACCCACAAAGTACACAGTCAATCCACTTTACAATATTATTTGATATAACGCCTTATCACTATCTCACAGCGCTTCACAGAATATATTGTAAAGAGGATTGACAGAATATTTTGTGGACGAAACACGGCAGCCAATTTCACACAGCAGTGTCCCACAAACACTCACAGTTTGAGTGACCAAATTTTTTTTTGAGGATTTATTACCTCCAGAAAGCGATCTGTCAACCGACTAATAGTGAGGTTCCTATTTACTGCTTAGTAAACAGTGTGGAGTTAGGAAACTTGCCTAAGGTTTCGCCCCACTCTGGAATTGACCCGGGTCCTTTTGCTTGTGAGGTGAGCCTGCTAACCACTACTCTATACCACTCCACACCATGGCTTATGAGTCACTTGGACAAGCAGTAAAGAACACATTAAGTGCCTTTGGTCATGTAGCTTGTCAGACAGTAAACTTTCTGCATGAAATGTTTAGTAACCAAAGACAAGACGTGAATGCCCATTCAATGTGAAATACACTTTTGTTAAATTTAGGAATAATTCACTGAGATTCACCTTGAGGTGAAGAGGCTGAGCCCATCGAGACTGACTTGTCTGAAACCTGTAAAACATAAAGTTGTCTGAGTAAATGAGCCTTACTGAACCAAGCGTATAAATGAGTCATCAACAACAAAATTAGCCTGAATTTGTATAGCACCCTTCATGCATTAGGAGGCACTGGAGTAATCATAAAGCTCCTAAAACAGCGTCCTTGATAAAGCTGAAGGTCAGACTAACACAAAATGTTGATCAGAAAAGGCCTCTGATCCTGTGGAGACAGAGGCACTTACAGTCTTTACTGACCAACTACATTTCAGGGCTATGGAACCAAAACTGTAGAGGAATTAGATCTGAACACAAGTGTCACCAATTTCCCACTCTGCAGAAAACAAGGTACTGAATGCATTTAAAAGAAAGTATATAATGGACCCATAATAAAGCATGTGACAGTTCAGAACACTTACGTAAAGGCTGACATTTACTGACTAACAAAAGAGAGTCAGTGTTGTGGAGAGAGTCTGTGAGCAGGGCATTAGAATAATTAGAGAGATAGAGTTGAGTGTCATTCACATACATGTTGAAGTAGATCCCAAGTCTGCCGATGATGTCACCAAGTAGATATTGAAGAGGAGGGGACCAGGGACAGAGCCCTAAGAACGCCACATGATTCGGAAACTTGCCTAAAGTTTCGCCCTGCCGGGATTCGAACCCAGGTCTTCTCGCTTGCAAGGCATTTGCTCTAACCAATACGCTACAGGATTCCATATTGATTTCTTCCTGTGCATAAACATTCTTATGCTTATTAGGATTATAAATTCCATCCCTCAACTTTGGGACGATAGTTGTTATGATCAGGTGTTACAGAAAATTATTGAATCTCTATTTGGTCCAAATTTTTCAACAACCTTTAATCTCTATATGCTGTTAGTTAATTTGGAAACAAATCAGCAACACATTCACATCTTAATGTTCCTTTTATCTCTCTAATCTGCCTTATTTTTGATCTTGTTCCAACATTAAAGTTGAGCAACATCTAAAGGTCAGGATGACAGCAACATATAAGACCATGGGGTTCCTTCCACCACCACATCATTGCAGCCATGGCGTTCCTCTGGCTCCTCTCCTGCTTCGCTCTCCTCGCCGCCTCTCATGGTAATCCATTTTCTTCAAAGTTCTGCTGTTCTGAAGTTAAATGGAGAATTTTGTTTCCGTTTGGGCACAATGAAACTGACGTGATTCCTTTTTCAATCCAGGCCTTCAATGTGGTTTGCCCGCCATCACTCCTGTGATCACGGGCTATTCACGAATTGTAAACGGTGAAGAGGCCGTGCCTGGCTCCTGGCCCTGGCAAGTCTCCCTCCAGGTAACTTTAAGAATCTAATTGAGTTCTTCGTCACTGGAGTAGGATGAGCTATGAAGATAGCAAATAACATTAAGATTAAGAGTGGCATTTGCAGCGAGAGTTATGAAGCCATTAAACATTTTTTTTCAAAATTAACACTGGATTTAAGAATCTTCCAAAACATTGCATGATCTTAAGTTTTGAAAAATATCTTAAGACCAAGACCATGGAATATACTGCAAAGTGAATTGACTGTATATTTTGTGGGCGAAACGTGGCAATTAATTCCGTACACCAGTGTCCCACAACAGCTGTGGATTGAGTAACCAAGTTATTATTTTTTTTTAATAATAGCTTTTAAAAGGCAATCAGACCAACATTGGAAAGGAAGTATAACATTTTTCCCCAAATTGTCAAGGCTACAACATTCAAAGACTGAACACAAGGAAACGCAAATGAAGCTTGTTTTGAATTTTCACCTTTACTGAACCTTGTGATGTTGTGCTTTGCTTGTGTGACAGGACTACAGTGGCTGGCATTTCTGCGGTGGTTCCCTGATCAATGAAAACTGGGTCGTAACTGCTGCCCATTGTGGTGTAAGGTAAGTCTTAGTACAAAAATAAGACTGAAATATCTTAAAGCTTCATTCATGAGGGCCACAAAGCCTAGAACCCAGAGCATGGCATTGTACATCAAAGATCAGGACAATAACAATAATCCCTCCAAAACCAAAAACAATAATAAATTGGTCATTTTCAATCTACGACTGTATGTGGGACACTGCTGTGCGCAATTGGCTCCCACTTTCGCCCACAAATATACAGTCAATTCACTTTACAGTGTGTTCTGTGAAGCGCTTTGGGACGTCCTCCCGACGTGAAAAGCGCTATATCAAATGCAAGGATTATTATTATTAAAAACTAAAGGTGGGGGAGGGAGGCCAAGAAAGCGTTTCACAGAATATACTGTAAAGTGGATTGACTGTATAATTTGTGGGTGAAACGCGGCAGCCAATTCCGCACGGCAGTGTCGTGGATTCGAGTGACCAAATTTTTTTCATTTCCGCTTACAATAATAATAATAATTTTAATAACAATAATGATCCTTGTATTTGATGTAGTAACTTATCAATCTGTCAAAAACATCTCAAAGTACTTCACAGAATTTACTGCAAAGTGTAGTAACTGTGTTTTTGTAAGTAAACACAGTAGTCAATTTGCAATGGTCCACAATAAAGCCATTAAGATGAAGTCTGTGAGCCACTTATAATATGCCTGTTTACTGTGTCAGATTTCCAGGATTTATAATTTTTCTTCTGATTCCTACTCACTTTATTAAACTTACTGGGTCTCTTTTTGTCTGAACCAGTAAATCAGACAAAGTGATTCTTGGAGCACACGACAAAAGTCAGTCAGAGGCAAGCCAACAAGTCATGTCTATTGAAAAGGTACGTACAGACACTGAGGTGCTCTGAATGCTAACACTCAGTAAGGCTGCAATTAAATTGGACCTGTTTAAGTCTGCATTAGTTAATTAGTTAGTTACTTTCCAGTGAAGCAAGAGGAGGATATTTAATTTTGAAATTAATTGAAAAGGCGCTGTGTAAAATGCATACATTTATAATTGTCCCAAAATAATTGTCTTCATAGATAGGACTGAGAAAATAACTCGCTCTCAGATTCTCTCTCTCTCGATCTCGATCGCTCTCTGTTGCAGGTGTTTACTCATCCTCGGAGGATTACCGAATTTGACGTTACTTTAGTGAAACTCGCATCCTCCCCAGTGCTCACAAGCCGTGTCTCCCCCGTGTGTCTCACAACAGAAGACTTTGCCGGAGGCACCATGTGTGTCACCACTGGATGGGGCAGGACTCGAGCAAGTCGTAAGTCAATGTCATCATTTCTTTTTTTTATATAAAGTCAATCGCTATTTGGTAAAATAATCAACAGTAGCAAATAATAATCCACTGGATACCATTCCGACTGGACTTTAAAATGTAAGAGAGAAACGGATATCTTTTTGGGGGTGAATGGTTCAAACATTTGTTTTTAAATGTATTGCTTTTTATTATTCATAATAATAAGGTTTCGCTTTACCTTCTTCACCTTTTGATATTCCTGCCAATAACAGCATTGAGTGAGTGTTATAGTCTGATTGAAACAATTCATTTCGGCAAAGGGTACATAATGTTTAGACATTGTTCAGATTGAATGATGGAAACTCTTAACACATGAAAAATACCTGCACTGACTGTGATCATCAGTCGCCTGCTTTGTACACGCAAAAGAATTATAATTACCAACCTTTCTCTAGAGGTTTGCATTGAGTGCCTATATTCTATAACAGGAGCTTATGCTGAAAACACACAGAGTGATCAATTGTTTATCCGTTCACAAAAAATCTAACCAGCACTTAACCTAAATGGTTCAAGCCCTCAGTGACAGTGTATATTAGTCTCCGACTGCTACTCCTAGTGCATCTGAAATCTGTACGCTTCACAGAACACTAGACTAACTCTCGCTAGTACAGAAAATGATCAGTTGTGGCATCGGGTAAAATACAACTGCCTTTAACTTAAAATTCTCAACCCTCTAAATAAGCAGGCGCTAGTGCGGAAATGTGACGGTAACTCTCATTGATCGTTGCAAACACTATTATATTTCGATAAATACATGTTTTCTGCTCTGTCTCCAGCTGCTGAGCGTCCCACCAAACTGCAGCAAGCGGCCCTGCCTCTCCTAACCAACACCGATTGCAAGAAGTACTGGGGGAGCAATGTCTTAGTCAGCATGATCTGTGCTGGTGCGGCTGGTGCCTCATCCTGCATGGTATGAGCCTGTTGGTTTCAGAGATATTTCAGCCCTTACTTTGCTGAGAGAAACAAAAGAACATGAGAATTGCTAGACAAAGAAGACCAAGGTCCAAACCAGTTCACCTTCCACCAGTCAGTCGCATGACATGTCGTGTCCCAAACTATCCCACAATATCCCACGATATTATTTCCTAACAGAAATCCATCTGATTTATTCTTGAAAGAATCAACACTTTCTGTTTCCACCGTCTGCCCAGGGAACCTGTTCCGTACATTTATTAGTCACTCACTGTCGTAGTGTTTCCATAGATCTGTTTTGAATTTACCCCCCACTCTCAATCGCAGGCCATGTCCTCTGATTTTACTGTTCTAGACAAGATAAATCTAGTCCCTTTAGAAACATGAGTAAGCTATTTAGCCCCTCGAGCCTGTTCCGACATTTTATAAGATCATGGCTGATCTGTACCTCAGCTCCAGTTACCTGGCCTTGCTCCATATTCCTTTAGAATAATAATAATCTTTGCATTTGATACAGCACCTTATCACGCCTTCTAAATGTCTCAAAGCGCTTCACAGAGTATACCGTAAAGTGAATTCACTGTATATTTCATGGATCTTAAAGACCGCCATCATATCGCCCCTAACATAAACATGAACATTAATGACAACTGCTGCTCTCTGTTCACAGGGTGACTCTGGAGGTCCTCTTGTCTGCCAGAAGAACGGTGTGTGGAACCAGGTTGGAGTAGTTTCCTGGGGCAGCAGCAGCTGCTCTACCAGTACTCCCGGGGTCTACGCCCGAGTGACTAAACACATTAGTTGGATCGAGCAGATCATTGCAGCCAACTGAAATCATCGAAAGCTGAAATTTGACAATAAATTTTTTGAACTCACGTTTCTTTAACGCCTCCTTTAATGTGAAGCCATTTACAGTCCAAGACTCGGAAGCATGAAGTCAAGTTGCCTCGTTGTTGTAATGCTCTGATACACCACATTCTTCAACAATAATAATAATCATAATCCTTGCATTTAACGTAGCACCTTATCATGCCGTTGAGACGTCGCAAATCACATCACAGAATATATTGCAAAGTGGATTGACTGTATTTTGCGGGCAAAACACTGCAGCCAATTGCACACAGCAGTAATAATAATCCTTGCATTTGATATAGCGCTTTTCACGTCTTCTAGACGTCTCAAAGCGCTTCACAGAATAGACTGTAAAGTGAATTGACCGTATATTTGTGGGAGAAATGTGGCAGCCAATTGCGCACAGCAGTGTACTGCAAGCAGTCATGGATTGAAATGACCAATTTATTATTATTTTTTTGAGACATTATTTTCAGGCGTGTGGAGTAAGAAAACTTGCCCAAGGTTTCACCCTGCCGGGAATCGAACCCAGTTCTCTCGCTTACAAAGCTAGTGCTGTAACCACTGAGCTACAGGACTCCACAGCAGTGTCCTACAAACAGTCGTGAATTGAGTGACCAATTTTTTTTTATTGAGGGATTATTATCCCAGACTTACCTAAGGTTTTCAATCCAGCTCCTCTTGCTTGTGAGGCAAACATGCTAACCACTATGCTACATCACTCCACATCCACGGCTTATGAGTCATTTGGAAAAGGAGGGAAAAAAACATTTAGAAAGCAAAGGCAAGATATGAATGCCTATGCAATGTGAATATACTGCTGCTAAATTTGGGAATAATTCCCTGAGATTCAGCACAAGGAGGTTGACTTGTCTGGAGTCTTACAGAACGAAAAGTTGAAGGAGTAAATGAGTTTTACTGAATCCAGTGAATGAATGAAAGATAAAATTGATCCTTCACTTCATGGCTGTTTTTAGAACTTACTGAACATCAAATTGGCTGCCACTTTTGCCTACAAATACACAATGATTACAGTACATTTCGACGATGTGATAACAGCAACAATAACAACTTGCATTTATATAGCACCCTTCACCCGAGTAGCATCTTGGAGAACCTTAACCTATATCAATCATAAACCTTCTGAAGCCATGGAGGAACAGGATCCTTTGTACCTAGAGTCAAGGCCCAGACTGACACATAATGGGGTTTTCAGTTAGTCAATGTTACTAACGATAATAATAATAATCCTTAAATTTGGTACAGCGCCTTACGCTTCGGGAGGTTATCCAAAAACGCCTCACTGGATATAAGCATCGATATAAGTGTCATGACTGTGTGTTTTGTGTGCGATCACAGCAGTCAACTTGCATACATCAGTGAAGTGAATAACCAATTTAATTGGGGGATTGTTGGCCAGGGCATTGGGAGAAACTCCCTTCCCTTTATGAATAGTGCCATGAGACCTTTATCGTCCACTTGAACAGACAGAGAACCTACAACCTGAAACCTTCCCACTCAGAGGCGAGAGTCTTCCAGATTCGTAAGGATGCTAAGGAAAGAAAAGTCCAAACAAATATTTAAGCGTTTATTATATTTTAAGAAAAGTACTGAAAGAGTGTATCAGTCAAAACAAAATCTAAGTTAAAAACAGAGTGAGGGAATGGAAAAGAATGGAATGAAGGAACCTAGGATCCACTATAAAGTGTTTTAGAAGTTATTTTAGTTGCACAATATGGAAACATGGTTTATTAACATTGTTTTGTGTTGTGCCTTGACAGATTAATAGAGTTTCTGGCTGGGTAGCTTTATAACTTATAACCCTGTATTAGGGTTCATTTCAGTGTCGGCTGAAATTCCCCAGAACTTCCGATGTCTCCAGATTCCCTTAGTTCCAAAGCAGAAATCACTTCAAACGGTGTTAATCTCTGTTAAGAAAAAGCACTACGTTGGTAAAACTACCAAAATAAACCATATCACCAAGCTATGTGGAGTCCTGTAGCTCAGTGGTTAGAGCACTCGCTTTGGAGGTGAGAGACCTGAGTTCAATTCCCAGCAGAGGGCGAAACCTTGGGCAAGTTTCCTTACTCCACACAGAGCCTAATAATAATCCCTCCAAAACCAAAAACAATAATAAATTGGTCATTTTCAATCTACGACTGTTTGTGGGACATTGCTGTGCGCAATTGGCTGCCACATTCGCCCACAAATATACAGTCAATTCACTTTACAGTGTGTTCTGTGAAGTGCTTTGGGACATCCTCCCGACGTGAAAAGCGCTATATCAAATGCAAGGATTATTTTTATTATTATGTTAAATCGGTGGTGGCACTACCCCATATCCCAAATGCCACACGCCCACGTCTAAAACAGTAAGAAATTACTGGTCACCTTGATAGATTTTATACCAACAATAATAATCCGTGCATTATCACGTCATTGATTTTATTCCAAAATTCCCTTGGGAGTTTTCTACCAATGATTTCTCCGATCCCATATGACTTATCAAGCGCTCTAGGACGCTACCCCACATGAAAGGCGCTATATAAATACAAGTTATTGTTGTTATTAGAGTGAAGTGTTTCTACCTGGTGCCCTGGGAACCCTGCACCTGACTTGCTGCCATAATCTGTGACTTGTCAGCTCATTACGTAAAGCTTTACTGAAGGTCGGAACAATCTACAGCGAGTTTTCCTGCAGCGTAGTTTGGGGGTTTAAGCAAATCAAAATAAGTTGTGCGGTCATTTTTCAAGTTTTATCTGTTTTTCATTTTCGTCAGATCATATCAATGTTTATTTTTTATCTAAGTTTTCCAATTTTTGGGGCTACAGAAATGGGCAACTTCTCGAAGGTCATAAGATCACCAATTAATACGCACAAAGTACGCACAAAGTTAAGTCCGTGCTGCCGACAGCAACAACTTATAAATAACACCCCTTCACGTAGGGTAACGTCATTGAGTAGTACGACTTGCAGGATGGGGCATTTTTTTTTGTGTGTGGCAAGCTTTCCTGCTGCTTGTCTAGCTAGGACTATCCTACCTGTTAGGGCTTTGGCTTGCAGGGTTAACAGGAGCTGAGTGGAATGACTCCCTCCCACTGACTGATCTGCCCTTCCAGGTCCTGCCGATGAGCCAGGCTGGGCTGTGCTTTCTTCAGCAGAGACCTGGAATAAAGTGGGTCCACAGTATTCCAGGGCAAAAACATAATAAAAAGTGATTAAAATGACATTGAAACCCTGGGAATTAATTTTATGCGACTTGGAGAAAATTGGAAAACCTGACAAACAGCAACTTTTATCAATTAAAATCAAAAACCAGCACGTCTTAAAATAATAACAACAAGCCTTAGATTTGGTACAGCGCCTTTCACATCGGTGGGGATGTCTCAAAGCGCTTCAGAGGATTCACTGTAAAGTGTAGTGACTATGTGTTTTGTGAGTGAACTCAGCAGCGAATTTAAGAACATTTATCTTGCCCTCTGTATTTATAAGCGCTCCACATTTTAAGCGCTCTACAGATGACGTTTGAGATCTAACTTTTAACACTTTCTATTTCTAACAAACTCTGGATACATTTATGTTATTTGTCTCTCCTGCTCATATAGATCCTTTTACATCTCTTGTTATTTCGCTTTCATATATATAGTGGTAGTAAGTCTTGCTGTAAAGTGTTAGGGATTTGTGAACATACTGTAACAGTCAATTTATGCTGTTCCTTCATGTTTTGTCTCCATACAGGACATTCGCAGGGCGAAACCTTAAGCAAGTTTCCTTATTCAATACACCTAATAATAGTCCCTCCAAAACAATAATAAATTGGTCATTTTCAATCCATGACGGTTTGTGGGACACTGCTGTGCGCAATTGGCTACCGCGTTTTGCCCACAAATATACGGTCAATTCACTTTGCAGCATATTCTCTGAAGCGCTTTGAGACGTCTAGAAGACGTAAAAAGCGCTATATCAAATGCAAGGATTATTATTATTATAAGTTCCCAATTTGAAGCACAATGTTTTCCTATCAACTTGACATTAATATAATTGCAAAGAAAAACACGGTTAGTCAGTTTGTTACTTCTGGTCCTTCATATTGGAAAATTCATAAAATTCTTATGTCACATTGATAAAATACAGATTTTTAATAATACTTTGTAGGTACAGTATGTGCTTTTTTTCCCCATCATAAATTATGTTATCACTTCCTTTAAACAGTACTGAATTACGCAGGTCTTTATTATGAATCGATAATGGCCAAACTATTTATTTACCTTGGAAATAAACCCTGTCCTGGACATGTGCTGTTAAAATCTCTTATCTCTCAGCAAATTTGCAAATTGGACTATATAAAAGTGTAAGCACCAACTTTCCACCACAAATCAACAGCCATGGCTATACTTTGGGTGCTCTCGTGCCTTGCTCTCATTAATGCTGCTTATGGACTGGGTAAACTGGATTTACTGAGAAACTCTCATTTCTAATTTATAGTAAGCTTTTACGTAGAGTTACACAGAGAGATATAGCAAAGAAATGGGCCAATCGGTCCAATCAGTCCACGCCAGTGTTTATATTCCACTTGAGCTCCAACCCTTCCTATTCCCCTCTCCGTTACCATTCTTTCTATTCCCTTCTCCGTCACTGATTGCTATTTTGAACTGATTCGTATTTTGTGCATTGATTTCTTTAAACACAGAGTGCGGTAAGCCTACTATCTCCCCTGATATTACTGGCTTTTCGAGAATCGTAAATGGCGAAGAAGCTGTCTCGGGATCTTGGCCTTGGCAAGTCTCACTACAGGTAAGTGGATAGGACACTCACTGCCACATATTGCATCATTGATGCTTCACTCGGTACAGCTAATGTGCTACTAGTTGTATTTAATTTTGTTTGGAAGTTAATTCATATATTAGGTATGGGTTTCTCTTCATTCAGAAACTAAGGTGAGGGACCAAGTCCAATAGGATAGGCGGAAACCAACAGACTTGGAAAAGGAATAGAAACCAAAGGAAAAGAATCGTTCAAGAAGCAACAGTTCGATATCATGAAACTTTGTATTTAAGGAAGAAGGAAAGATTGAGAGAGGCAACATGTTCCATAATCCTGAAGTTTATAGAATCAATGAGTTGATGCAATGATTTCAACACAATAACGGTGTCCAGGGTGAAGATTGTGCGGAATTGGCATATCTAGAAAGTACGGTGAATCTCACATAGATTGTATCATTTGGGACCATACATTTAATGTGACTTGTGCAAAGTATGAGTTATGTAAAACTTTACACAGAATATAAACTCTTGCATGGGACCTGGGCAGATGTACGACTTAGGCAATTATACGATTTATACAGATCAAACTTTTGTTAGGTTTCTGTATAAAGAGACTTTAGAGAAGTTCAGAAGACTGCAGTTGCATTAATAACAGAAAAAGAACTGCAGTGATGAAGAGAGATTGGAAGACTATAGATGTCATACAACATTTTCTGACCTATGGCTGAATGGCCTTCCGTGCTTTTAATTTCTATGAACAATAATTAACTTTGTATCTCACTTTCGTCCCCGAAACGTGATCTTGTGATCTTCTGAGCTTAGCAAATGTTGCACTGCCCTGACTTCTGCAGACAGTTTCACCTGCACTGAAAATGTTTCATGCGAAGATCACTCCTTTGAAATAACACCATCTTTGTTGTCAAGTCAGCCAGCTTTGGTCTCATGGAATTTTTATTTTACGTCTCAATATTTATTTCCCAATAAAAAATGGTCACTCACTGTTTGTGGGACACTGCTATACTCAACTGGCTGCCGCATTTCAACCACAAAATATACACTTAATCCATTTGACAGTATAGACAGTACATATTGGAAAGCGCTTGAGATGTCTCAATGACACAATAAGGCGATATATCAAATAGAAGGATTATTATTAGGAGGTGAATTCTCTAGTGCACAATACCCGGCAAGGTTTCATAAAGCTGGTAAGCCTGAAATTCCTATCAATGGGGGGCGGGGGGGAGACAATAATTTCCGTGTTGAACAACAATCTCTTTTGTGTCACAGGACTACACAGGCTTCCATTTCTGTGGTGGATCACTGATTAGTGAATACTGGGTTGTGACCGCTGCTCACTGTGGTGTGGGGTAAGCTTGAATACCTCTATACGAATGCTCAGAGGCTGTGCACAGACACAAGTACTTACTCAGAGGAATGTCTTCTTTTTCATCAGGAGTCAACATCGTGTGATTCTTGGAGAATTCAACAAATGCAGCTCCGACGTCCAAATTCAGACCCTTCAAGTTGCTAAGGTATGTAGGAACATTTTTTTTAATGTGTTTTTTTTCTACAGAGGGTAGGGGAGGACTGAGGAAGGGGGAAATGTGGCATGTGATATCACCAGCGCTAATATCACCTGTGATAAAATCTTATGCCTATATTATTCCTTTAGGTTTAACTGGACTCTGAGGTATACTGTAACATAGCTCACCCACAAATTATTTAGTCATTTCCCTATACAGTATATTCTCTTAAATTCTTTGAGACATCTCAAAGGCGTCTCAAATTCCAGGATTATTATTATTATTATTTTAAGTGCCTTGGGATGTGCTCCTGACGAGAAAGGCGCAATATAAACGTAAGTTTGTATTGGATTGTTGTGTTGTATAATCTACTACTTTCACAAGTTATTTGTCCTTCTGTCTGGAGGAAAAAAAGCTATTGTTCTTCACCCAACAGAATTTCGGTAACTTGTCTTTGTCTTGTCCATTTCAGGCCATTACCCACCCTCAATGGAACTCCAACACCATCAACAATGATATCACCCTGGTGAAGCTCAAGGCACCAGCTTCTATGAATTCACGTGTGTCTCCCATCTGTCTGGACACCTCACAGGGCATGTTCCCCGCAAGCACGATGTGCGTCACGACAGGATGGGGACTGACTAACCCTTTCGGTAATGCCATTTCCATATCTTTATCAAAATAGCACCATAAGGTTCAACTCAGAACTATTAGATCTAACTAAGTTTGCAATTCAGCAACAGGTATTTTGTGGAGGAGTTTTCAAGAGATTGTTTATTCAAGAGGGCAAAATATGCTAAGTCAGACGCCATTGGCTCCGCTATTGCAGAACAGATTGATTTCACGATCCTTGGTATCATAGCATTTCATGCCCTGGCACCTCCTGACTTCACTGCCCTGTTCCACCCTACTCTACCCTCTATCCGCCCCTTCTCTCAGCTGGCTCTGGCCTCCTTCATGCCCCTCCTCTCCTCCTAGTAACGTCTCAAAACACTGTTAAGAGCAATGAGATGCTTCCCCGTGTGAAGTGCACTATAATAAAATAAAGTAAACCCAGAACAATGCTTTAGGATGAACCAAGACAGTGGAACAAGAGGTCATAGGTTTAAAGTTGTAAAGAGCGAAATCAGGACGAGATACCAGGAAGTTTTCCACGACCAAGAGCGAAAGTAATGATAGGTTGTTAGGAAGGGTGATGAGGCCAGGACACTGGATTCACTTAAAAAGCAACTTACTGCTATGGTGGGCGAACAATAGGGCGGGTGTCCTGGAAGGATGAGAATAAATGTGCTGAAAGGCCATCTTCATCCAAACTAATTTTCTGGTACGTTTCCAGGGCTTAATCTCTTGGCTGTTTGTGGGACATTGCTGTGCTCAAATTGCCAGCTGTGTTAGCGTACAAAATACACATCCACTGCACTTTACAACAAATCCTGTGAAACACTTTGAGGTGTTGTCCTGTACGTGAAAGGCGCTTTATCAAATGCAAGTATTATCATTCGTTATTACGTCTTCTACTTCCTGTGAGCCATTATGCCACGTTATTTTCTTTATATATTTTACATCATTTTGAAGAATCCCAGAAAAGGGGCAGGCGGTGGGGCGGAAAGATGTGCACTAAATAATAATACGAGGTGGCTAATTTGGTCACTCAATCCACGAATGATTGTGAGACACTGCTTTGCGCAATTGGCTGCTGCATTTCGCCTGCAAAATACACAGTTAATTCATTTTATGGTATATCCTGTGAAGCCCCTTTGAGACGTCTCAACGATGCGATAAGGAGTCATATCAAATGCAAGGATATTATTGTTGTTAATAAGAGGTGGGCTAGCCATAGCGCATCACACACTTGATTTAGGTTTTCTTTGTATCAAAACAGAAGTGAGTTTGACCCTTTCTAAGTACAAAGTCACTGCAGATGTACATATTTTTTAAAAATTGCAATTTTAACCTCTTCAGCTGGCAGCACCCCATGCAAGCTGCAGCAAGCCACCCTTCCCCTCCTGAGCAACAAGGGGTGCGAGGCTTACTGGGGCAACAAGATCTCGGATGTCATGATCTGCGCTGGGGCAGCAGGTGCTTCTTCCTGCATGGTATGTACGCTACACCTCCACTTGTTAGGAAACTTATTATTTAATTAATGATGAAATGCCAGGCAAAGATGCAAGGTTTATAAATAATGTGTCCTACTTGCATCTCATTGTACCTGACTGAACTATCTATTCTTTACTCCTGATCTGGCATTGTGTAAATCCCGGACTAATCAAATAGCGCATACACAATTTGTGTTTAAAGCTCACAGGCCCGATACTAGTAGTGTTCAGAGCATCAGGTGTCCATGTGATGGATTCCAACACTGATATATTCTTCCAATTCGCCTGGAGAATTCCTGTTTAAAAAAAAATGAGGTCAAGGCCACAATATGTCTCAGTTATTTTGATTCTTTTCTTATGCAAGGCTTTGCTAAATTCACGATCACTGGGTCCATTAACTCTGGCCTGTCTTGTTTTCAAACAGGGTGACTCCGGTGGACCTCTCATCTGTCAGAGTGGAGGAACTTGGTATCTGGTGGGAATCGTTTCCTGGGGCAGCGGCTTCTGTTCCATCAATTCGCCTGGAGTCTACGGTCGTGTGAGCAAATTCCGCACCTGGGTTGATCAGACAATTGCTGCCAATTAAAAGCATTGAATATAACATGGAACTCAAATAAAGAAAAATGACAGCACTCTACACTTAGTCTGGTGTCTCCTTTACTGATTACTGATGTTCACGTTTATGCATTGAGTCCTGTAGCTCAGTGGCTAGAGCACTCGCCTCGCGAGCGAGAGACCTGGGGTTCGATTCCCGGCAGGGCAAAATGTTGGACAAGTTTCCTTCTTCCACACGCCTCTGTTTACCTAGCAGTAAGTAGGTACTTGGTTGTTATTCGATTGGTGGATCGCTTTTCCGGGGGTAATAACTCCTTCAAAAATAGTATTAGCAAATTGGTCACTTAATCCAGGACTGTTTGTGGGACGCTACTGTGCTCAATTGGCTGCCGTGTTTCGCCCACAAAATACAGTCAACTCACTTTACAATATATTCTGCGAAGCGCTTTGAGACGTCTCGAAGACGTGATAAGACTCTATATCAAATGCAAGGATTATTATTATTATTGAATCTGTCAGCTACATTAAGAAAATTGTTTTCTAAACATTTTCGATAAGAAGGGAGAAAAGAACGCTCCCAACTGAGCCAAGCTAAACAGTGTGTGAGCTGGTGTTTGAGAAGCATTGGGAAAACCCTGGATAGGATCATTCAAACCTGTGGTGTCGTTTTATGTTTGCCAATACAGTAAACCCCCCCTTTCTCAGTTGTACACAGTGCCTGGGGTGAAAGGATCCAACAGGAGAATGGGGGGGAAAAAAAAACAACGTAAAAAAACGTTACCCTCAGAAGAAAAACAAACCGAGATGTAATCGACGTCAAGCGGGCCTTTTTAATTTTAAACTTCCCTCCAATTCTCCCAGAAGGGCTAGTCTGCCTTTCAATACCTCACCCAAAAAATTGGGTGGATTGGAGTCAAGGCCAGTAACATTCCAGTCAGCATTCTGTGCAGCGACACTGACAATCGCGGCCTCTAGTGAGAATTTCCCTTCATAATGGCACCAAGTCGCTACATGAAAAACAGTACTTATTTCAGGCGTCTGTGGATATCCGCACATACACACTTCCTAGAATGAATCACTGAAGAGCGAACTGGTGCTTGAAGCTTGATCATTAGTCCCCTCCTTAGCCCAGAGATGCTGAAGTGAATACCACTGGGGATCAAACCTGGGATTCTGGGTCTACGTGGCTCAGAGTCACGCCAAGCAATGATCCTGTCGAAAGGGTCAATGGGGGAGATGTATTACTCTCTTATCTGTATGTGGGAAACTCCTGCGCACAAATTGGCTGCAACTTTTGCCTACAAAATACGCAGTTGCTACCCTTTACAGAGCACCCTCCAGAGCACTTTGAGATGTCTCGACAACGTGCTAAGGCGCTTGTTCAAATGCAAGGAATATTAATACCTAGTGAGCAAAGCCATCAGCCAGTGTAGACTAGAAGGTGTAGACTATAGGTTCTCATTCCTTGGTTTGTGCTGGCTTAGGTCCTTCAATTAACCTCTCTCATAAAGGAAGGACAGAATTCAGAGCCAGAGATATATATAAAAAAAATCAAACCTTATATATACACGATAAAATGAAGAGAAAAGCATGAATGAAATGTACACCTCAGTAAACCATACATTGAATGTGAACTTATGCAAAGTATGAGTTATGTGAAACCTATAATAGAAAATTCAGCTTACAGATGTACAACTAAGGCTATTATATGATTTATACAGATCAGACGTATGTGAGTTTTACTGTATTGGCAAACATAAAACAGCGCCACAGTACAACTACTTGCATTTATATAGCGCCCTTCGTGTAGAATTACATTCTGAAAGCTTTACACTACTCTTACTCTGACACATCACAAACAATAAGACAATCTTACAGGAACGAGAGGACAATATCAAAAAACCCTTATGTGATACTGCACCTTTCATGTCAGGAAGATGTCTCAAAGTGTTTCAGAAGATATACCGAAAGTGAAGTGTATTTGTAAGTGAACAAGGCAGCCAATTTGCACACAGCAATGTCCCACAAAGAGCCATGAAGTGAATGACTAATTTCATTTGGGGATTGTTTGCCAGGACAAAGGGAGAAACTCATTTCTCTTTCTGAATAGTGCCATAATATCTTTAACGTCCATCTGAACGGGCAGACGGGACCTTGGTTTAACACTTCATCCAAAGGACTGCATCCCAACAACACAGCTATCGTTGCATAGGAGTGTTACCAAATGAGCCAGGCTGACAAACACGATTAGGGTATTGATAGTCCCTGGTTGAAAGGGCTTAGAAGAAAAAGGAAAGAGCATAATAACAACAACAATAGACAACACATTACTTTGTGTAGCTCCTTTCACGTTGGGAGGACACCCCAAGGCGCTGACAACAGCAGACTGAAGCAAATAGGACAAATTTATGACATATGTGAGGAAGGAAAAAATAGTATCGAAAGAATATTTCAATCAGCCCAATATAAACTAGTTCAAGCTTATCGGTGTAGTGCATGAATTGCTTCCTGACAAGGGGCAGCTCTGTCTCAGAGTTGTTTTTTGTAAATAACCAAAAGACAATTCACGGAGTATAAGTAGTTCAGTGGTGGCCAACTTTTTAGTCCGCCAACCAAATACATTTTTTTGATTGAATATTTCATGATTTATGGCTACACCATAAATCGCGGCACTTAGTAACAACTAGAAACAAACCCTTGATTCAAAAAGGCTTACCTAGACTCAGAGGAAGGTTGGGGGGGCATTTCTGGCCCGTGGGCCATGTGTTGGCTAACACTGACAGAGTTGAGTCACTAGGACTAGGTGATAGTGAGTGACCACAGAAAATGACATTCAATCAGACTTGGGAAAGAGCATGAGAATGTAACCAATTGCTTACTCTTTAGATGGACAGATTCAGGGTTGTCAAAGATGAGCTTAGTAATTTTAATAAAGGGAACCACTAAAGCATAAATGGGCATCCTTCAGAAACAATATAGTAAAGAGCTTGATTTCCACATTACTTGGGACCAGCCCTGTTATGGATATGAAAACAGTGCAGATATTAGGTCATCACATAAAGTACTAATTGGCTGCAATACTAACTGAAAACATCTGCCATCATCAACAGTTACACTGACACTTTAATTCCAACCCTGACCTCTTTCTATTTTATCTCTGATTTCCTCACTCTCCCTGTCTATGACTCACTTTCCCCACCTCTACAACAATAACAACAATTTGCATTTATATACTGCCCTTCACTCAGGGTAGCATCCGGAGTGCTTGACAGTGGTGAAGTCTGACACCAAGCCAGGGGAAGAGAGAGCGGGAAGGTGACCATAAGCACGATCAAAAAGGAAGGCCTTTAGGTGGGATTTGAAGGTGGGAGGGAGGGGGCAAGGTGGAGGGAGAAAGTTCCAGAGTTTCAGGGCGCAGTGGTTGAAGGACCTGCCAAGGATGGTGGAACGGAGGGCTCGAGGGGACCATCAGGAAGCCAGAGCCAGCTGAGCAGAGGCAGCGGGTGGTGGAGTAGGGGGGGTAAGCAGATTGGTAGGGAGGTGCGAGGGCATGAAAGGATTTGAAAACGAGTGAGAGGATCGCTCACCCCATAAATCAAACAATTTGCTGAATATTGCACTGCCATTTTACACATGAGTAAAAGCTGAGGATTCAAACCCAGGCCTCAGGTATTAAAAGGCCAATATCTAACTATTGCATCAGTCGGTTCCCTTGTACACACCTCAACTCAATGCCATCTGCCCCATCTGTGAGTTTATTTACACGTACTCAGCTCCCAGTCTCCTAACTAGATTAACAGCTGCATTAGCTGTCCAAGCACTGGCTCAGTAGTCGCTCAAGGTCACTTTTGTTAACTGTAGAGAAAGTGGAACTGAGGAACCTGCTGCAAAAAGTCACACGTCAGTCTCTAACAATTTTTTAATGGTTGCTTTTGGCTATTCCAATCAAATGAATAATAATAATATTAATAATAATCATCACATCTTTGAGATGAAAGATGCCCTGAGCACTGCAGTGGACCAAGTTTTCATGTCCCAACAAAGAGCATTTGCTCTATCATCGAAGCTGCCAGTTTGTTCCATGTGTAGCTGCCTAACTAGAGTCCACTGGACGCAGAGCAGTGAGAAGCACCTGGAGTGGAAACAAGTCAATTTTCCATTGACGTTTGACCAGATTAGCCAAATACAAAAAGAGAAGGTAGTTTTACACTGTGTCTTGGCCAAGTATTCAAAAGATTGAACACTTCCACTGTGACATTTCTTGGGAAACTAACTCTGTATCTGTTAAACTTCAGCTATTTTTTGATCAACATTTTAAATGATGTGTACTTTTCATAATATCAATTTACCTTTGGAAAAAACCTGCCATGTACACATGGCTATGAATTTTTATCTATTAGATACCCACCTTTGCCTTCAGACTATATAAAGGTGTGAGTACTAACTCTCGACCACAAATCAAGCACCATGGCTTTCCTTTGGGTTCTCTCATGCCTGTATCTCATCAATGCTGCTTATGGACTGGGTAAGCTGAGTGTACTGAGAGACACTGTAGTTTCTATTTTATATAGAGATGCTTTGATTGAACGAATTCTTATTCTGCGCACTTGTGTCTTCTCAATCCAGAGTGCGGTCGCCCTGCGATCAACCCCGTTATTACCGGCTACTCCAGGATAGTAAATGGTGAAGATGCTGTTTCAGGATCTTGGCCCTGGCAAATCTCACTGCAGGTAAGTGAATGGGACAGTCTGCTGCTATTCAGGTGGCTCACTCTACTTATAAGGGGAAACAGCGCAGTAAAGACTGCCACTGAACAGAAGCAGTGCAATGCACGGATATTTTAAAATCTATTTTTTGGGGAGCGGGTGTGTTCATCTGAATGATAGACAATACTGGGAAATCAAATGCATGGATGGGATGGAACCTGTCAAGGGGGTAGCTGACAGAGATCCAGGGATGTTAGTTGACTCATTGTTCACCATGTCAAAACAGTAAACAGTAAATTACTACTGTATATTTGAAACTCTCCTTTCTTTATTGGAACATCTGCGGCTAATGCACAGTTCAGCCATCACTGCTATTCCAAGTGTGAATTATGTGGCAATACGCACATAGTACTGACAAGATTGCTGCCGATGGACTTTTGCACAGCGACGATCACTCTCTATGCTGAAAACCTATCTCTTTTATGTAACAGGACTACAGTGGCTGGCATTTCTGCGGTGGTTCCCTGCTCAATGAAAACTGGGTTGTAACTGCTGCTCATTGTGGTGTAGGGTAAGTTTTACAACCTCATTATGAAACGTTTCTCCCCATGTATAGAGCAATACATGGTACGTTACAAGGAAAAGTAATACTAGAACCAGATTGCTTTCTGGGGGTAATAATCCCTCCCAATTTTTTTATAATATGACCACTCAATCCACAGCTGTTTGTGGGACACTTCTGTGCACAATTGGCTGCTGTGTTTCGCCCACAAAATACACAGTAATTTTACTTTAGAGCGAAACCCTTTGAGACGTCTCAACAAAGTGATAAGACGCTACCTGGGTTCTATTCCCATCAGGGTAGGAATGTTGGGCAAGTTTCCTTACTCCACACGCCTCTGTTTACCTAGCAGTAAGTAGTAACCCGGTTGTTAGTCGATTGGCGGATCGCTTTTCCGAGGATAATAATCCCTCAAAAAAAAAGTAATTTGGTCACTCAATCCACGACTGTTTGTGGAACACTGCTGTGCACAATTGGCTGCCACGTTTCGCCCACCAATATACAGTCAATTCACTTTAGAGTGTATTCTGTGAAGCACTTTGAGACGTCTAGAAAACGTGAAAAGCGCTATATCAAATGCAAGGATTCTTATTACCATTCCTGAGTGTGATTTATTCTTTACCTTTAGCCAAAGCCATTACGTGGTTCTTGGAGCACATAATAAATGCTCAAGTTCAGAAGATAACGTGGTTGTGGGTGTCGCAAGGGTACGTAGACATTTTCTAATCGTGAACCCTCTATCCTATGCCCTTTTCAAAGTACTGTTCACCCTGTTGACTTTACCTGTTGGCTTTTTCGACTGGATTCAGCTATTGTGCTTCCACGCGATCTAGAGTTCATGTCGATGCAAGAGCCAGCTATCTCTGCAGTCTAACATCAATACAAAGGACTTTGCCACTGGCTTCCTTAAAATGCCACAGTCTGATTACAGTATAGAGTAGTTATACTGTAGGTGATAGAATACATTATAAATGGTACATATTGACACTATAACAGCTCACAGCTACTTCCAAAGTTGATTCCCCAAAAGACATCAGACCCTGCTGCAGCTCAGAACTACAACAACAACACAATTACATTTGTATAGAGCCTTTCACGTCGGGAGGACATCCCAAGGCGCTAACTACTGATGAGCAACATAATCAAGATTTGAAGACAGGCTGCCTGCATTTTAAACTCCCAACTCTACGCATTAATGAGACTCCTTTAAAAACCCTGGTAACAGCTGATGTGACCTAAATGAACCCAAAATCAACTGATCCTCTTTAAAGGCAAAACCGAGTTCCGTCTGCAAAAAGTTTGTTGATTCCAGTCTGCTAATGTCTTGGAAGTAATCCATGGAATTCATTATGTAAGTTCTCTTAAAACCCACAGAAAATAGGCGGTCGAAGTTAAAACCGAATTCAACAATTTACCATATTCTGCTCACTGGAAAATGTTACGTTCATAGAGCGAATCTCCAGTCAGATCCAGGTGGAATTTCTACCTACGTGTGTACCATAACCCACTAAAATATCATAGAATCATAGAATCTTACAGCACAGAAGGAGGCCAGTGGCCCAATGTGCCTGTCCTGGGTCTTTGAAAGAGATATCCAACTAGTCTCACTCCTCCACTCTTACCCCAAAGCCCTGCAAATTGAATCTAAAAATGTATGGTTCCCAATCCACATCAGCACAGGATCCAGAGTGTGACTTAGAAAATAACATGGTTATTAGTGTGGCAAAAGTATATAGAGATTTTCTAATACTAATTTAGTATTGACCAGGCAGAACCCATTCTCTCTGCACCAATCTAAAAGGAAATGAAGAAAATACAGATTTGATTTTGGCATAAATCACCTGGTGGCAATAAGATTGCAGCAAACAAAGGCAATATGTCACCTGCTTTTCCACGATGTAGAGTACCAGAATAAACTGTTTGTCTTTCTGTGCAACGGGAGTGGGCGGGGAGGGCAGAAGCTTTTCTTTTTCTTTTAAGAATTACATAGGTAATCCTGAAATCATCTGTTGCAGGCCTTCACTCACCCTAACTGGGATTCGTACAACATCAACAATGACGTGACTGTGGTCAAGCTGAAATCTTCGGTTACCTTCACTCCCCGTATATCTCCTGTCTGTCTGGCTTCGAATCCTGACCTTTTCCCTGGTGGCAAGATGTGTATGACTTCAGGATGGGGACTGACCAATCCATTTGGTATGTGAGCTTTATATCTTTGTACATCTTAATTCATTCCCGTTGCTAGATTCAACAAGCAATCAATTCTGCAAATGGGCAGGGCATTCAGAATGATCGAGCCTGAGCGTGATTAAGATAGGAACAAGGGTTTGGGCAGCTCGGAGGGAGAAGTAAGGCTCGAGGTGGACTGTGGGGTGGAGCTGAGGAAAATCTCAGAGAGTGAGAGCTCAGAAGGTAGTGATTGAAGGTCAAACAGGTGATAGCAATGGCTCCATATGAGTATCCGTGGGGGGGTCGATGTGGTCAGAGCCTGAGGTGAGAAGGCGTTGACACGAGCCAAGCAGGAGAGCCCCTGCCTCGATGTCATTTAGTGGCTGAAAGTTAGAACTCCTGCAGGACTTAACATCGGATGTTTTTTGGTAGTTAATGGGAATCAGGAGAGAACTGAAAAGTGGGGTTAATTTGTAGAAAAGTGCTTTAGAAAATCAGGTAGCAATAGCGTTTCACCCACAAAATATACAGTAAATCCACTTTACCGTATATTCTGTGAAGCATTTTGAGATGTCTCAACGACACGATAAGGCGTGATATCAAATGGAAGGATTATTATTTTTATTTGGAAATGCAATGATATGTTAAAATTTCTCTCTCTCTGTTTGATCAGACTCCAACACTCCATGCATCCTGCAGCAGGCAGCCCTCCCTCTGCTCACCTACGAACAGTGTAACAACATTTGGACCAACATGATCACCGATGCCATGATCTGCGCTGGGGCAGCAGGAGCCACATCCTGCATGGTATGTCTGATGTTCACGCAGCCAACATTGGACTGCGTTAACTATATCCCAGGTGTAATGGGTGATCCGTGAAGCCAAATTGCACTCAACTTGAGCTTCACGGCCCAGAGACAACACAGTTGGGGCTAGTAACTTTTATTTTTGCTCAGCCGAGTGTCGGACATGTCGAACGCCATCACCAGGCTAAAGAGTATCCAAACCAAGCTGAGAATTCCATGCATCCCACCTACACGTGGAAATCCCAGAGTTAGATTGTTGGAATGGAATAGAATGCGCTATTTCTTTCGCTGGAGGGGCGAATCCCGCTTACGTAATTCAGGAAGGTTTTAGGCTCGGGCTGGGGACCCCAGAGCGGGCGTTGGGGAAACTGCTGGGGTCCTAACCAGCTGAAAAACGCACAGCTTGCCACGGATATCGCTGTCTGGCAAGCTTTCCGTTGCTTGTCCAGATAGGACCATACCAATATGTAAACAGTTTGGATCAGGTGAAGCAAAAGTAATGATTTTAAGTAAGTCAGGAAACCTAAGAGTGAAACGCAAATTAGTGGAAAGTAAATTTAAACTGATACCAGCAAAATGTCAAAGGGTGATAAATGTTCGTAATAAACTACCAAGTAACACAGTAGAAGCACAAAAGAAACTTTGGGGTTGTTCGAAGACAACAACTTGCTTTTGTATAGCGCCTTTCACACAGGATACCGTGTGGGAGTGCTCCACAGTGGTGGGGTTGGACTCTTCTCAGGGGTGGTGGAGGAGGTGACTGTAGGCTGGGTCAAACAGTTAGATCTTCAGGTGGGATTCAAAGCAGAATGAGATGGGGTGAGGGGAGATCATGTCCTGGAGGGTTGCGCTTTGGCCCCTGGACACCTTTTTCTTACGAGGTATTTATTTTTAAGCTGAAGTTCGCAACAATCATATTAACTCGGACGTGTTCTGCTTCCAGGGTGACTCTGGTGGCCCTCTGGTGTGTCAGAATGGAGGAGCCTGGAATCTGGTGGGAATTGTTTCCTGGGGCAGCGGCTACTGTTCCACCAGCACCCCTGCCGTTTACACCCGGGTGACAATGTTCAGATCGTGGATCGAGCAGACAATTGCTTACAATTAAAAAGCACAGATGTTAACATTAATTCCCATTTTAAATAAATAATTTGCAAATTACATCTTGCCTTGGTAAATGTTGAGATTAATGTTTGTCCAGTGCCTTTGTTGATCAAGTTATTGATGAAGTCACCAAGCAACCTGTGGCGTGTTTCTCACATTAGCGAGCATTGCTTCACATTAGTCTGTGTTGCTCTCTCTCCAGGGTACAGCCTTTCAATACAATACATAGTTACAGCACAATACACATTTATGTAGCATCTCTCTCATCGGGAGGATGTTTCAAAGTGTTTTAGTATAGCACGGAGCCGGTTTCTAAACTAGAAGGCACCTCTTTGCTTTCCTCTCTCCTACCTGTGTGATGCGTCCACCTTTACATACATTCTCACCCATGAGTCTCAGTATAGCAAGAAATGGGCATCGGTGAATTAAAGGTTCAGCATCGGAGACAGGAGACCTTTGACCTCTTCGACGGAGTTTGGTACAAATAGGGAAAATTCTTACTTAAAAATAAAGCCCTACCTAAATAGTTAAAAACTTGTGACACTGTCAAAAAACATAGACACAAAAATGTACTTCAAATGCTATTTTTTCAGACATCAGAGGTTCACAGAGTGCGGTAACTTGGGAGGGAGTGGGGGGAAATTTGTACTGTCTGCGCTCAGTCAAGGGAGTTCACTGCACTGGGCTAATGCGTTATTCTCATAAAAACACATGACGTTACTGACGAAAGAAGATCCATCTAGTTCGCCTTCCACCATCCTGGCAGTCGTTTGACATGTCGTGTCCCAGACTATATACTGTATCCCCAGATATTATTTTCTAGCAGAAATCTATCTCATTTGTTCTTGAAACAAATGATATTTTTTGCTTCCACCATCTGTCTCCCTGGGGGGGCGGTGGGGGGGGCTGTTCCGTAAGTTCACTTCTCACATTTATCCTCCCTTTGAAGCATAATGCTGAACTCTGCTTGTCTGGCCAGCAATTCTCCACAATAATCGGGCATTCACCCCTTGGCTCTTTGTGGGACTTGCTAATGTAACTGGCTGTAACTTTCCCACACAAAAACAGTAACTACACTAAACTAACTGTGAAGCGATTAAAAAATAATAAACAAGATAAAGATGTAGTAGAGAGGCTATTAATATGGAAGTCCTTCCTGTCTTTGTTGAGCTTAGGTCATTTCTCCTTGCTATTTGAGATAAACTCATGAAAATTTAAAACGCATATAAAATTGATTGGAATTATCTATAAGTGCACAGGGACGAAGAGCAAACAGAAGGATGGTGCTTAACAAATAAGCTTTAGGATAATAATAATAATAATAATCCTTGCATTTGATATAGCACCTTATCACGTCAATGAGTCATCTCAGAGCACTTAACAGGATATACTGTAAAGTAGATTGACTATGTATTTTGTGAGCGAAAAGTGGCAGCCAGTTTGTGCACAGCAGTGTCCCACAGACAGCCATGGAGTGAGTGACCAATCTTCTTTGGAGGATTTATTGGCCAGGACACCGGGAAAAACTCCATTCTCTTTTCGAATAGTGCCAGGGGATTTTTAATGTCCACCTGAACAGGCAGACGGATCCTCAGTTTAATGGAGTGTCAGCTTAGGCCAGGCTAGTCTAACCTTTTGGCTACCACGGGCTGGATTTCCTACTTGAAAAAGTTCTGCAGGCCACAGTCTCGCTCTCTCTCTCTCGCTTTCTCACCACTCTCACACACACACACTCCTCTCTCCCTTTCATTCAATCACTCTCTCCACCCTCTCCTCCTTCTTTCACCCCCTCTCAATCCCTCTCATAAACAGCCACGTGATTCGTGATTCACTATCTACAGCGGCACGCGCTTGCCTTCCTGCAGAAACGGTCAGTATCATTTTCACTTTCAGCACTGCATCATCCCAACTGCAGGCTCCTGCTGCTGCCATGGAAGGATATTCACCAGGATGGGAGGGAGTGGAAGTCAGAAATGGCCTCGGGCCGGATAACATCAACCGCCGGGCCGCCAGTTGGACCACGCTGGGCTATGTGATTCCAAGACCTGATTTGGAGAGGGGAGGCTTGAACCCACACCTTTTGAATCAGAGGTTCGAGAGGCTGACACACAATCGAACGTACAGAGTGAGAATAACCTCCTCAGTGCTCCCAACCTTGCCCTGTCTGAGCATTTTCTCCTGATATCCATTTGGACTATAACTTTCAACGTTTAACCACAGTATCTCAGTCACAAAGATCTGTTATTCCATATCACTTGTATGATTAAATCCTACTTTCTGAGAGAAAGTTTTTGAGAAAAAGAGCATGACTTAAAAACACAGCAAGAACAGTAAAAATCAGTGGATTTTGAAAGGAATCCCACATATGTGCAAGTAGCGTCCAGAGATGCAACGCTGTCTCTCTTTGAATCCCAGTGTTTTTAGTTGTTGCAATCAAACCAATAAATCTAAGGCATCTGAATCCTTGCGTTATCTTTATGACTCAACTGTTCAGCTACTTGATCTCAGTTCATTTACATTAGAGAATTTTTAGGGGGGTTCAGCCGGGTGTCTGACACATGCGGAAACCCATCACCATGCTTAAGAGCATCCAAACCAAACTGAGGTTTCAATGTATCCCACCTACACACGGAGATTCGCCCACAAATATACGGTCAATTCACTTTACAGTCTATTCTGTGAAGCGCTTTGAGACGTCGAGAAAACGTGAAAAGCGCTATATCAAATGCAAGGATTATTATATCATTATAGATTGTTGGAATGGAGTGCGCTTTCTCTCCCTGCTTACCTAATACCGCAAAGTACTTGGCACAGGTTGGCAACAGCCAAGGATTGGGGAGCCCAGAGTGCGCGTTGGGGGTACTCCTGGAGTCTAACCAGCTAAAACCGCACAGCTTGCCATTAATACTACAAGCTTTCCCACTGCTTGTCCACCTAGGACTACCCTGCCAGCTCCTTTGGCTTGCAGCACCAAAGCATTTAAAATAAAAAAACATTTAGAATATAGTGCGTTCTAAAATTGGTCGTTTGTAATTCCATCTCACTATCCCTCCATCTCTCCCGCCCGCCCTCTCCCAGTCCGACTCAGAGGTGAGTGCCACCACCTGAGCCAGGCTGACATCTACTCCAGCAAAGGCACTTAGAAACTATTTGTAAAACTAAACAGAAAAAGAATAGGCTTAAAAATAGGCACACCACCACAACAACAACAACAAATTACATTTCTATGATGCCTTTCATGGCAGGAGGGCATCCTAATGTGCTGGACAGTCAGGGATCCGCACCCGAGCTGGTGGTTGGGATCTGGAGGGGTGGAGGGCGAGGGGTAGGAGGGTGACCGAAGGTACGGTTGAAGAGGAGGGTCTTGAGATGGGTCTTGAAAGAGGCAAGGGAGGGGGTGAGGCAGAGGGACTGTGGGATGGAGTTCCAGAGGGTGGGGGCAGAGAGGCTGAAGGCCCACCCGCCAATGGTGGGGCAGACAAGGCAGGGGACGTGAAGCAGGCACAAGTGTAATGCAATAGGAACATTTGGAGTGCAGGGTTCAGTGAAGGTGGGTTGACAGTGAAAAACATTTTATCCACGAGTGGGAAACCGAGGAGCAATTTTCCAGATCTATATTAATTGCTGCGTCATTAAACATCTAATCTTCGTCCAAAGCATTGTGCTTACGCACCAAGCATATTAAACATGATTAATAGTGGGAAAATGTAACGTCTTGACAGGTTTAACCCAAAACACCACAATTTGCATTGGCTTTTTAGCACCGGCTTCACATGGATAAATATTAATCCTTAAATTTGGTACAGTGCCTATACTGTAATGCTAAAACACCTCAAAAAGATGCATCATAATCACTGTTAAGTGCAATGACTGTATATTTCTGTAGGTAAACCACAGTAACCAAGTTACCTGCAAGCAGTGTCCCACAAACAGCCAGGAGAACTGGAGGTTTGTTGGCCAGGATACTGGGAGAAACTCCCTTATTATTCCAAGTAGTGTCACAGGATCTTTAACGCTCACCTGAACAGGCAGATATGCTTTCAGCCACTACGCCCCGAAACTCCAGAACTCCCTGTCTCAATCCCTCCGCTTTCCTCTTCTTTGCCTGATTTCAGATCAAATCAAAAGAAGCGTGTGGAATAAGGAAACTTGCTTAACGTTTCACCCTGCTTGAGTTGGAGCACGATGACAGAGGTTTCAAGGAATTTGCCCGCAGACACCCTCAACTCCAGACCAAGGGGCAGAAGATGATTGTGAAATCAATATAATGTTATGTCAATGTTAGGTTGTTAGTCGATTGGTGGATAGTTTTCCAGAGGTAACAATCCCTTAAAAATAATATTACTCATAATAATTTGAGAAATCTCAAAGACGTGATAAGGCACTATATCAAATACAAGGATTATTATTATATAGTATAATGTATAGGATGAAACCTTAGGCAAGTTTCCTTACTTCACACACCTCTGTTTACCCAGCAGTAAGTACGAACCTGGCTGTTAGTCGATCGGTGGATAGTTGTCCGGCGGTAAAAATTCCTAAAAAAAATACAATCCACGACTGTCGGTGGGACACTGCTGTGCGCAATTGGCTGCTACATTTTGCCCACAAAAAATGCCATTTACTCCGAAATGGAAAAAAAGTAAAATTGCAATTTCTGGTTAAAACTCAAACCCAACCTCAATTATTGACGAAATAACATCTTGTGCCTTTGTTTCAGGTCACTACCCACCCTAGCTACAATGCCCAAACCTTCAACTATGACTGCACCCTACTCAAGCTGTCTTCCCCAGCTATTTACAATGGTTATGTTGCTCCAATTGCACTGATTCCTTGGAACATTGATCTTCCAGGAGGCACAATGTGTACTACCACTGGGTGGGGAAGGACCGAGTCCGGCGGTGGTAAGAAGCTATTAAGTACTTTACTGAAGTTGAATACACTTACAGGTATATATCTATACCTATACTTTACAGTATAGCTGTGAAGTGCTTTGAGACATCTCAAAGAACGTGATAAGGGGCTGTATCCCATGGATTATTAGTTGTTCATTATTATCATTCTCTCCCTAATATAGCAAGCTCCAATAGGCTCGTGCAGACAAATATACCCATAATTGATAAAGAACAGTGCAAAGACTACTGGGGGAACAGAATTACTAACATGATGATTTGTGCTGGCGCCTCTGGATCCTCATCGTGTCAGGTAGGTAACCAAGTGTTTGGGGAGCAGATTAATAGGCAGCTGGGTTGCTCCATTGAGATCTACCATAGACTGTGTGGTTTAAGCAACAGGATCCAATTGTCATTTTTTAAAATAGGAATAAAGTGTACTTTGAGATATGCCAGGGCAGCAGGACACAGGTTCGAAGTTGTAAAGGACAATTTTACAGCAGATAAAAGTAATTTACAGCAGCGCTTTGAGACGTCCTCCCGACATGAAAGGTGTTCCATCAAATGCGAAGATTGTTATTATTATATTATGGCAACAAGAAAAGCAATATCAAAATTACATTTATAAAGCGCCTTTCAGGTCGGGAGGACATCCCAAGGCACTGGACAGTCAGTAGTTCAGTGCATTACAGTATTATTACCAGGATCATGGTAAAATGTGGGATTGTTAGCTGAGCCTGATTGTCAGCACAATGCTACTCTGCGTGAAGGGCACCATATAAATGTTGTTGGCGGCAGCAGAGGGCTCTGGAATTGGCCTCATCACTTTAAGGAAAAATATCAGCTAGCATTACCCAATCCAGATCATTAGTCAGGAAATTCTCCAGAAATTGGTGCGGGGGGAGGTGGAGGAATAGGGAGGGGCTCAATGTGGATGTTCTGCTCACCACTGGTTGTTCAGCCTGTCCCATTTTTTCCTCCAGGGAGATTCCGGTGGCCCTTTGGTTTATGATCACAATGGTAACTGGATCCTGGCTGGTATCGTTTCCTGTGGAACCACGAACTGCAACGTATGGGCTCCTGCAATTTACTCTTCTGTTGCTGACGCGTCCCTTTATTGATCAACACATCAATTACTGATTGGTTTAACCATCATGCAATATATCGGATCAATAGTTTAATAAAGTGAAAGTATTTCTGCACCAAGTTGTTTATTTCTCCTTACTAGGCTATGATTTCTAAGAAGCAAGGATTTGATTTCAGTTCACACTATAAGGATGTCTCAAAACACTTCACATGATATATTGGAAAGTATGTTGTAGGCAAATGCAACAGCCAATTTGCACATAGCAACGTCCCACAAACATACATGACACATTTTAACTGAGGGATTGTTCAACACTGGGAGAAACTCCCTTCTCTTTTCAAATAACACCATGGGATCTTTAACATCCACCTGAACAGGCAGATAGGACCTCGGTTTAACATCTCAACTGAAGAACGTCAAGTCCCACAGCACTGCCATGAAGTGTCAATCTAGAAAACTGACCGGCGTGTGTTTATTTCATATCCTAAACATCTTCAATGATCAAAAGATACATGAGCTGGCTGCACTTTGTTAGATATCAATATCATATCAGTTTAAGTGATTTGCCTCTTGTCAATCCATCGGCAAATTTTGTACCAGAAATCTGTAATACTCCAACATACTCCAATGGCATGTTAGTACTGATGATAATGTTGGTATCTTGCAAATAATAGTCGGAATTAATAATAATTAAGTTAAATTGTCGCATTTTATTATAGAAAATGCCTTGTTATAAAAGCTCTACGATGACAGCCTGACAACTCAGTGCACAGACACAGAAAAAAAACATACACACACACAGCACCGCTTCCTCAGCTCAAAGGCGTAGGATTGAATACAATATAATTTGTATTTATATAACACCTTTCACATCAAGAAGATGCCTTAAAATGGTTAACACTATGTTGGCCTGGCACCCAAGCTGGAATTGGAAGCCGAAGGGTTTGGGGATGGGAAAAAATGATGACCGAAAGCAATAATGATGACCGAAAAATGATGACCAAAAGTAGCTTTCGAGGGGTGTCTTGATAGAGGAGGGAAGGAGCGAGTCAGAGAGATTCTAGCATGGAGATAATAATATGTAATAATAATCCTTGCATTTTGATATAGCGCTTCACAGAATATACTGGAAAGTGAATTGACTGTATATTTGAGGGCGAAACGTGGGAGCCAATTGCACACAGAAGTGTCCCACAAACAGTCGAGGATTGAGTGATCAAATTATTTTATTTTGTTTCTTGAGGGATTATTATCAGGCGTGTGGAGTAAGGCAACTTGCCCAAGGTTTTGCTCTGCCGGGAATCGAAACCAGGACTCTCGCTTGCAAGGCGAGGGCTCTAACCACTAAGCTACGGGACTACAAAACTACAGGAGGTCTAGAGAGCAGGGGCAGAATGGCTGAAAGCCTCCCATCCAATGATGGGGCAGATAAGGAGAAAGACGTGAAGCAGGCTGGTTCTTGTTGAGCAAAGTGATTTCAAATTAATGTGCACTAGATGCAAGCACGTTTGTGTCTTTTCCCGATTTGCCCAGTGACCTACTGGCCGAGCCTGTCAGATAATAATATAATAATAATCCTTGCATTTGATATATGTCGGGTGGACATCTTATGGTGCTTCATGGTGATGTACTGTAAAGTGCAGTGACTGCATATCTTGTTAGCAAATGTAACAGCCAATTTGTGTACAACAATGTTCCACAAACAAGCATGATCAAGTGATTTTTATTTTATTTGGGAGATTGTTGTCCAGGTCACAGGGAGAAACTCATTTCCTTTTTAAATAGTGCCATAGGACCTTTAAGTCCACCTGAAGAGTTAGACAGAACCTCAGTTTAACATCTCAGTTAAAGGACGGACCTTGTGGCAATGCAGCACATCCCCAGTACAGTATTAGTGAAAAACTAGACTATGAGTTCAAAGACCTGATCTGGGGCTTGAACCCACAACCTCTGACTCAGAGGTGAGTGCTACCATCTGAGCCAGGCTGACATCTGCTCCAGCAAAGACAGTTAGAAACTATTAGCAAAACTAAACAGGAAAAGAAATGGCTTGAAGAAAAGCACAAGCAGCCACAAGTGTAATGCAATAAGAACATTTAGAGTGCAGAGTCTCAGTGAAGGTGCACTATAGCTGAACTACTACCTGGTATCAGTGGAAAGCATTTTATCCACGAGTGGGAAACCGAGGAGCAATCTTTCAGATCCATATTGATTGCTGCGTCATTAAACATCTAATCTTCGTCCAAAGCATTGTGCTTACGCACCAAGCATATTAAACATGATTAATAGTGGGAAAATGTAACGTCTTGACAGGTTTAACCCAAAACACCACAATTTGCATTGGCTTTTTAGCACCGGCTTCACATGGATAAATATTAATCCTTAAATTTGGTACAGTGCCTATACTATGCTAAAACACCTCAAAAAGATGCATCATAATCACTGTTAAGTGCAATGACTGTATATTTCTGTAGGTAAACCACAGTAACCAAGTTACCTGCAAGTAGTGTCCCACAAACAGCCAGGAGAACTGGAGGTTTGTTGGCCAGGATACTGGGAGAAACTCCCTTATTATTCCAAGTAGTGTCACAGGATCTTTAACGCTCACCTGAACAGGCAGATATGCTTTCAGCCACTACGCCCCGAAACTCCAGAACTCCCTGTCTCAATCCCTCCGCTTTCCTCTTCTTTGCCTGATTTCAGATCAAATCAAAAGAAGCGTGTGGAATAAGGAAACTTGCTTAACGTTTCACCCTGCTTGAGTTAGAGCACGATGACAGAGGTTTCAAGGAATTTGCCCGCAGACACCCTCAACTCCAGACCAAGGGGCAGAAGATGATTGTGAAATCAATATAATGTTATGTCAATGTTAGGTTGTTAGTCGATTGGTGGATAGTTTTCCAGAGGTAACAATCCCTTAAAAATAATATTACTCATAATAATTTGAGAAATCTCAAAGACGTGATAAGGCACTATATGAAATACAAGGCTTATTATTATATAGTATAATGTATAGGATGAAACCTTAGGCAAGTTTCCTTACTTCACACACTTCTGTTTACCCAGCAGTAAGTACGAACCTGGCTGTTAGTCGATTGGTGGATAGTTGTCCAGAGGTAAAAATCCCTCAAAAAAAATACAATCCACGACTGTTGGTGGGACACTGCTGTGCGCAATTGGCTGCTGCATTTTGCCCACAAAATATGCCATCAATTCACTTTACAGTATATTCTGTGAAGCTCTTTGAGATGTCTCAACGATGTGATAAGGTGCAAGGATTATTATTATTATTATTAAAAGTTGTCTTTTCAATTATTGTGTCTCAGATACTGTTTGCAAAAGGAGAAACACAATCATCAATCTTACATGACGGCACAGTGAAATCCTAGGCTGAATCTGAATCCATTTTTGCCACTTTTCTTGGAAAAATGTTTTTTGTTTGCTGATCAAAGACCATTGATTGAGACCTAAAATTAAGTGCGTTTGTGAGCAGTTTCCAATGTCATTGCACCTTTCTGTGAATTGATATTCCTTATCTGTTGCAGATACAGCTTCCAATCAGCAAATATAAAAGCTAGAGAGCCGAAGAAAGAGCAACACAAGAGAGGCAAGCATGACTTTCACTTGGATCCTGTGCTTTGCTATTGCAGGAGCAACCTATGGTGAGTGATAGTTATACCGGTCAAAGCATTTTAATAGAAATAATAATCCTTGCATTTGATATAGACTCTTATCAAATCATCAAACTGTCTCAATGTGCTTCACAATATTACTGTACATATGTATTCTGTCTGACTGTGCATCTGTAGGCAAAAGGGACAATCAATTTGCACAGAGCAATGTCCCACAACCAGCCACAAAGTGAATCACCAGTTTTATCTGGGGAATTGTTGGCCACGACATTAGGAGAAACTCCCTTGTCTTTTTTAAAGAGTGCCATGAGATCCTTTATGTCCAGCTGAACCAGACAGTACCTCAGTTTAACGTCTCACCCAAAGGGCAGTTTTACACTTAACTTTTAAGTGGGAAGTTCAAACATTAAAAAAAACTTTTTTTTTCTACACAATTTTCCACCTTTAACGTTATTTTTACTGGGAATGTAGTTTGAGGCACATAGGGGTAAGGGGGACGGGGGAAGTGGAAAGGGTGCCGAAACCATGTTATAAAGGGATTTGACAAAGTCTATACAGAGAAGCTTTCTTCTTTGGAGAAAGGGCAAATCCAGACTAAGAGGATACAATGCAAGGCGTTCCATTATTAGACATACTGTCTTCAAATGAGATGCTAAAACAAGCTCCAGTCTGCCTTGTCCAGGTCGATGTCAAAGATCCCATAGCACTGTTCGAAAAGAGAAATATGTCCTATGAAGCTCTTTGAGATATCCTCCTGATGTGACAGGCACTGTACCAAATGGAAGTATTAAATGTACCAAATTCTTATTATGAATATTTGGTTGGCAAAGATATCGAAAGAAGTGCTGAAACAGCAGGAAATGGGGCTAAGTGTCAGATCAACAACAACAACAAGATTCCATTTATAGAGTGCCTTTCACGTCGGGAGAACATCCCGAGGCGATCAGCCGCGATCTACTAAATTAAACTAGTTGAACAGGTTGGATTGACTGAATGATCTGCGTCTGTTCCTATTTTCTTAAGTTATTATCCAATAAAGAAGTTTAAAGAATACCATTTATCATCCTAATCCTTGCATTTGATATAATGGTTTATTGTGTCATTGAGTCGTCTCAAAGGCATTGTGCCTAAGGTATCGCCCTGACCGTGTCTTCTCGCTTGCGAGGCGAGTGCTCTAAGCAATACGCTACCGGACTCCGCGATCAGGATCATGACAAAGTGACAAGCACATAAGAATATTTTGTTTCAAACCTTTTTCCTTCCCCAGTTGCTGGTGCTCCTGCAGCTGACCCTTCCCGTATAGTCAACGGACAGGTGTCAAGTCCAGGGGCTTGGCCCTGGCAAGTCTCCCTGCAGGTAACATTTCTCTTCAATTCTATTTTTAAATGTAAAATTCATTACATTTTTGAAATGTTTAAACTTGTTAAATTAATATTTATTTACTGCTCCTCAACCGGTCACTTTGCTCGGCCGACTCAGGCATTTTGCGGGTCACTTGACCCTTCCGCTCCATCATTGGGGACCGTGCCTTCAGCCACTGCCCCCCAAACGTCTGGAACTCCCTGCCTCAATGCCTCCGCTTTGCAGTCTCTTTGCAGTCCATCGTCAGATCGCACCTGAAGAGTTTCCGAGACACTATCCTGCATGAAGGTGCAACGGAATATAACCTGTTCCTATCTTTCTGGGACAATATAGTTGGAGAAAGGAAAGGGGTTTTGCTTATGTACTTAGAGCTGAGGAAAGTCGCTGTTATACATGCCTACAGTCACCTCCACTCTCTCCGTGGTTCACCATCAAGCTCCGCCACTGTTGAAGGCTTCGAGATGCTACCCTGTTTGAAGGGCATTATGTAAAGGCAAGTTGCTGCTGTTGTTGCTGTTATACACCGATTATAACCAAGTGCTTCAATTCATTCACTCCTGGTGTGATCTTTCTAGTTACACACAAGTCCAGTTATCAGACCTGATTGTGCTTGATCCCTGGTATAGGACTCCCCTGGTTTATTGCTGGTACCGTGTAGGCGAGAATACTATATTTTATTTTATTTTAGTTTAGATGAACACGTAACAGGAACCTATTGCTTACCTTTTCGGATATCCCCCTCCCCGAAAGCAAACTTCAGACTGGTATTGCTATTCTCCATTGAGTTGAAGCTGTACAGGGAAACTCTCACTGGTTGTGTCTGACCTATTGTATCTAGAGAGCGCAATGTACCTGAAACTTCATCACCTCTCAGAATTGGTTGTTTTTCCGCAGGACAAAAATCGCAATCACTTCTGTGGAGGATCTCTGGTAAACCAGAACTGGGTTATTACTGCCGCCCACTGTCAATTTAAGTGAGTATTTGACAGGTGGTTATTAAATTTGGATAACATTCTCTTTAAATCAGCTTCCTGCCGCGAAGCTTGTTGACGGATTGTAACCGAGGTTCCAACTTCCTCTTCAGGTGAATGTTATGGATCCTATTGCACTATTCGAAAAGTAATTGATGTTTTTCCTGGTGTCCTGGTTAACAATTCCCCCTTGAAATTGTTCATTCTTTTATTTATTTGTTGAATAAAGTAACAGCTCATCTAGTACTTTATTCAACAAATAAGTAAAAGAATAATAGTTGGATTTGATATTGCGCCTTTCATGTTGGGACGATGTTTTAAAGAGCTTTACAGGATTTCTTGTAAAGTGTAGTCACTGTATTTCGAGGGTCAATGTGGAGTCCTTTAGCTCAGTGGTTAAAGCACTCGCTTTGCAAGTGAGAGACCTGAGTTCAATTCCAGGCAGAGGGCGAAACGTTGGGCAAGTTTCCTTCCTCCACACAGAGCCTAATAATAATCCCTCCAAGAAAACAAAACAAGAATAATTGGGTCATTTTCAATCTACGACTGTTTGTGGGACATTGCTGTGCGCAATTGGCTGCCGCGTTCGCCCACAAATATACAGTCAATTCACTTTACAGTATATTCTGTGAGCGCTTTGGGACATCCTCCTGACCTGAAAAGCGCTATATCAAATGCAAGGATTATTATTATTATTATGTGGCAGCCAATTTGCACACAGCTATGTCCTTCAAACAGCCATAAAGTGAATGAACAATTTATCCGGGGAATTGTTAACCGGGACACCAGGAAAAACATCAATTACTTTTCGAATAGCGTGGGAACATTGTCTATTCTAGATTCCAAGTAGCTACACAGAGATTCTTAGTGTCTCCACAGATTAACGATTTAAATGTTTTCTACTACTACAGTTACTACTATCATATTGTTGTGCTCGGAGAATTTGATATGCACTCTTCATCAGAACCTGTGCAAGTGAAAAGTGTTTCACAGGTAAGTACAAACTAAAATTGCTTCCTAAGTAAGTAACATCTCAAAGCAGTTCGTATAACCATTTACTCCGAAATGGAAAAAAAGTAAAATTGCAATTTCTGGTTAAAACTCAAACCCGACCTCAGTTATTGATGGAATAATATTTTGTGCCTTTGTTTCAGGTCATTACCCATCCTAACTTCAACTACCAAACCTTGAACTATGACTGTACTCTACTAAGGCTGTCTTCCCCAGCTAGTTACAATAGCTATGTTTCGCCAGTCCCACTGATTCCTCAGGGCACTTATCTTCCAGGAGGCACAACGTGTGTCACCACTGGGTGGGGAAGGACTGTGGCCGGCGGTGGTAAGAAGCTATTAAGTACTTTACTGAAGTTGAATACACTTGCAGGCACACATGCCAACATATGTTGAGTCCTGTCGCGTATTGGTTAGATCACTTGTCTCACAAGCGAGAGGACCTGGGTTCGATTTGCAGGCAGGACGAAACGTTAGGCAAGTTTCCTTACTTCAGAGGCCGCTGTTCCGTTCGCAGTAAATAGGAACCTGGTTGTTAGCCGATTGGCGGATCACTTTTCCGAGGGTAATAATCCCTTCAAAAAGAATAATTAAAAAGATAATAATTTGGTCACTCAATCCACGACTGTTTGTGGGACACTGCTGTGCACAATTGGCTGCCACATTTTTCCCAAAATGTATACAGTCAATTCATTTACAGTATATTCTGGGGAATGCTTTGAGATGTTTCGAAGACGTGATAAGGCGTCATACAATACAGTACAAAATTACATTTGTATAGCGCCTTTCACGTCGGGAGGACGTCCCAAGGCACTATATCAAATGTAAGGATTAATAGTCTTATTATATTAGTTCGTCATTGTCATCATAATGTCTCCCTAATATAGCAACCGCTAGCAAGCTCATGCAGACAAGCCTACCCGTCATTGAAAACAGTCGCTGCAAGGAATATTGGGGGAACAGCATTACTAACATGATGATTTGTGCTGGTGCCTCTGGAAGTTCCTCGTGTCAGGTAGGTAACCATGTATTTGGGGAGGATGTTAATAGGGTCTAAACACAGAAGTCGCTGGGAACACGCAGCAGGTCAGGTGGGTACAAGTATTTTACAGCAGTGCATCAAGACATCCTCCTGACGTTAAATGTGCTCCATCGAAGGCGAGGATTGTTATTATTATATCACAGTATTACTACCAGCACTATGATAAAATGTGAGCAGAGTTAGCGGGCAGCCGAAGAGGGCTCTGAAATTGGCCTTATCATCTGATGGCGAAATACCAACCAGATCCTGATCATTACTTATGAAGTTCTCCGGAAGGGTGGGGGGGGGCGGGGGAGAGAGAGAGGGACTCGATGTGTATTTGCAGTCTGCTCACCACTGCTCGTTCAGCTTGTCCCATGTTTTATTCCAGGGAGATTCCGGTGGCCCTTTCGTTTGTTATGTGAACGGTGCCTGGAGCCTGTCTGGTCTGGTTTCTTGGGGAACCAGCAACTGCAACGTAAGGGCTCCTGCAATTTACGCCAGTGTCGCCAACTTGCGTCCGTTTATTGATCAATACATCTATTACTGATGAATTTAACCTTCGAACCTTCGTGCAATGGATCGAATCAATAGGTTAATAAAGTGAAAGCATTTCTGCACCAAGTTGTTCGCTTCTCCTTATTCGGCTCTGATTTCTAGGAAGTCAGGCTTTCATTTTGTTTCACCCCGGAAGGATGTCTCAAAGCACTTCACATTCTGTAAAATACGGTGACTGTGTATTTTGGTAGAGAAATGCTACAGCCAATTTGCATTCAGCAATGTCCCACAAACAGCCACGACCACTTTTAACAACAACAAATGTAATTTTGTTGTTGTTGTTGTTGTAACTGAGTAATTGTTGGACACTGGGAGAAAATCCCTTCTCTTTTCAAACAGCCGCCATGAGATCTTTAACATCCGCCTGAACAGGCAGACCGGACCTCGGTTTAGCATCTCAACTGAAGAACGGCACTTCCAACAATGCAGTGATCCCCCCTGCGCTGCCATGAAGTGTCAAACCAGACCATCCACCTGCATGTGTGTGTATTTCATATCCTAAACATCTTACAATGGTCAAAGGACTCATGAGCTGGCTGCACCTTGTCAGATATCAATATCATATCAGTTTAAGTGATTTGCCTCTCGTCAATCCATTGGCAAATTTTGTACCAGAAATCTGGAAACCTCCAAAATACTGCAATGGCATGTCAGTACAGACACTGATGACAATGTTGGTGTCTTGCAAATAATAATCGGAGATAATAATAATTAAGATAAATTGTCACAGTCTATTATGTAAAATTCCTTGTTATAAAAGCTCTATGATGACAGCCTGACAACTCAGTGCACAGAGAGAGAAAAAATACACACACACAACACCACTTCTTCAGCTCATCGCACAGGATTGAATTTTCATTTATATAACGCCTTTCATGTCGGGAAGATGTTTCAAAGTGCTTAGCACTGCGATGGCCAGGCACTCGAGCTGGGGTTGAAAGCCGAAGGGTTTGGGGGAGGGGAGACATGATGACCGAAAGCACAGTCAAAGAGGTAGCTTCGGAAAAGTACCTTGAAAGAGGTGGGAGGTAGGGAGTCAGAGAGACTCCAGTATGAAGTTCCAGAGAGCGTGGGTGGAATGGCTGAAAGCCTGCCTGCCGATGGTGGGGCAGAGAGGACGAAGGACATGAAGCAGGCTGGTTCTTGCTGAACAAAGTGATTTCCTATTAATGTGCACCAGATGCAAGCAAGTTGGTGTCCTTGCCCGATTTGTGCTGAATGACAGCTTGCAGTTAAGACCCTGTCCAAGATGAAATTCAGCATTCATCAAAATTGAATGCGAGTAGACGAGAGAGAGCTTAGTAATGTTATACTGTGGCAGATTGGTTTTCCCTCAGCACTTGTCAATCAAACTCGTATCAGGAGAAACACTCCACGTCAGGTCAACTGAGAGGCGAAAATATAACAAGGTGTCAAAAGGAAAGCCAATTTTCCTCCAGTTTAGAAATAGATACGAATGATTAGTTTCCCTACAGCTTTACCTATTCTTCCTTGCTCCAATTAAATGAGTCCTGTAGCCCAAACCACCACTTCCAATAAACCAGACACGTAAAAACAAGGGCTAAAAATGCAAGAGGATCAAATCACACATTAAACATGTACAAAATGCAGAGTTAGAACAAATGGGATTTGTAAATGTAAAAGCAATCATTTGCTCACTGCTGGGTTGTAGGATATGACTGGCATGACTTAACTGCTGGCTGTGCCTTCAATACCCAACCTGCTTCATTTCTAATAATAATGATCCTTGCATTTGAATATACCGCCCTTATCACGCCGATGAGACATCTCAATGCTCTTCACTGCATATATTATAAAGTGTAATTTGTGGGCGAAACACGGCAACCAATTGTGCACAGCACTGTCCCACAAACACTCGTGAAATTATTTTTTGGAGGATTACCCCTAGAAAGTGATCCGGCAATCGACCGGGTAACAACTGAGTTCCTACTTACTGCTAGGTAAACAGAGGCCTGTGGAGTAAGGAAACTTGCCTAAGGTTTTGCCCCGGCTGAGAATCGAACCCGGATCCTCTTGCTTGCGAGGCGAGCAAGCTAACCTCAGTGCTACGGGACACCACAAATTTCTAATCTAAACTTCGTTAGATTTCTAATCCCCTGTGGCAGCGATCACTTCTCAGGTTTTTGCTTATGCTTTTGATTAGGTTCTTGAAGCTGTGAAAAAGTGATTGGGGTTCTCTCGCATGCATGTGAATCAGCAGACATCAGGAATAGTAAAGAGTAAAGCTCATTCCAGTCTTCCCAGAAGCGCACATGTGTTAGCATCAGGTGAAGACAGGGTCAGTGTGATAGAGCAGAGGACTGCTGGACTTCCAAACTTGTTTGGCAAACACACAATCTTTAAAATCCTTACGCTAAGGAGTCTGAAATATATGATGATAAGCACCTGTGACCCAGCCACAATCCCAAGAAAAATGGATCAATGCTCTCTATCTCCAGACATTCTATTCTACATCACAACTGTGGTCAGGGTCATGGGAAGACTGAGGGCTGGGACCGGAGAATAAACAAGATCAAAAGAGAGGTTTGCACGTTGAAGGCCCTTGGTTCTATTTGCCTCTCATTCTTCCATAAAAACAACCCCCACGGACTTACCATTACTCTATCAAAAGTCCAGTGGCCTGGTTTCCACTACCCTTTCTGGTAATCTGTTTCAACTGCTGATTACCCTGATAAATGAAAATAACCGTCAGTGTCTGTCCTAAACTTGCCCTTCACAAATCTGAACTTGTGTCCTCTGGTCATTCAAAAGGCACATCCCTCTGCTCCAACATCACTCTGCTCCAAGCCCAACTAGAGAATCAGGCCCCAGTGGGTAAAAAGTATTTTTCTGATATTTGCGAGGTAAAACCATTGATAACTTCTTAGTGTAAAAGGCAATGGAATGACATTCCACAGTGAAGTTCCTCTCAGATTCAATTGCAATAGCTTTGAATTCAGCAGTAGGATTACCGCATAACTGGAGACCATCCGTATGGAGAGATGCAAATGTTCACTTAATAGTATCTATTGGGATAGTATCTATTGTTTCAGATGTCCAAGGCATTCTCTTTGAGTAAGATCACACATGCTCAAAGAGACTTCAGCAAAGTCTGATGGTGCCTTTTCTTTGATACGTTAAACCACGTATTAATCACTTCTGCTGGTTGACCTGGGATCTATATGATTTTGCTGATCAAGACTGTCCATCGATTTCATTGGAACGTAAGAAGCCAGCAACAGGAAGAGGCCATTTAATCCGTCGAACCTGTACTGCCCCTTTTATTTTTGTTCAGGCAAACTGGGGCTCTGCAATCATCAGAGGCAAGGTCTCAGAGGGGACCTCATATGGAGTGTGCAACATTTTAAATGGGATTGAAAAGATAAAGCCAGAACAATGCTTTAGGATACAACAGGATAATAGACCAAGAGGATATACGTTTAGAGTTGCAGAGGGCAATGTCAGGACTAGGAAGTTTTACTTTACTCGGTGAAGAAAGTAATGACTGGAACAGCTTGTCAGAAAGGATGGTTGAGGCCAGGACACTGGATTCATTTAAAAAGCAGCTTGATGCTGTGATGAGAGGATAGTAGGATGGATATTGTGGAGGGATGACATCAGATGAGCTATAGGGCCTTCTTCACCCAAACCAATCATGTGATCTTTATTTATTCCATGCTGTTTTATCTGCCATATCTTGGAGTCTTGGGCTGTGTCCCTGTAGCGCCATCAGGTGGTTTAAAAGAATTGCACCTCATGAATAATAATAATCCTTGCATCTGATATAGCGCCTTATCACGTCTTCGAGACGTCTCAAAGCGCTTCACAGAATATACTGTAAAGTGAATTGACTGTATATTTTGCGGGCGAAAAGTGGCAGCCAATTGCGCACAGCAGTGTCCCACAAACAGTCGTGGATTTATAACAGTGAAGCATTTTACAGCTAGTGGCAAGGTTGTACCCACAAGCACTGTATAATTGGAACAATCCATTAAGCACATGAAGGACCCATACAATGACATATTGTGATGCCATTCAATGCCAGTAAAGGAAGGAGACTCATCCTACTAGTGGTTCAAAGTTTGATAGGATAGAGGATGGAAGCATAAGAACAAGGGTAGGCCTTTTGGCCCGTCAAGCCTCTTCTGCCATTTTCTTAGATCTTATCTGATCTGTAACTCAAAACCAACTTCTCCAACATCAGATCTTAATAATTCAGCAAATTACCAAGTGAAATGTGTGTATCTTATGACTGCTCCAAAGCTCTTGCCGATGAGATGTGCTCGCTGCTCTACACTTGCTCGCTTCTCTATAAATGCCACAGTTTTGACTTTAACCAGTTTCTACAAACTGCCTGCTGTAGCGCCAGCTCTACAGTGTCTGTGCCAGCTAAATGCCAAGTCGGCATCCTAACTGCCTCTGTCTACTCAAGGCCCGGATATAGATGTTTGCTGCTGTTTCTTGACTTCTGACTACGATGTAGAGTATCGTGTAAACATACTCCCTACCCTCCTGTCCAATAGCAACAGTCGGGGTGAAGTTAAAAGGGCTAAAATGCCACAATAGCACTTAAAGGGTTAATCCGCAAAGTTGACATTAACCTGCTTCAGAACAGCAACAAATACCCCAGACATTGATCTGACGGAAAAACACCAGCAATTTGCACCTGTTATTTCTGACTCTTATCCAGCAGGGATGTGGTCGAGATCTATAAAAGTCAGTAGCTTACCATAGCGTTGAAATATACAGGAATTATGGCTCTTTTCAGACTCCTCTCATGCCTTGCCTTTGCGGCCGCAGCCCGTGGTATGTTGTACGTTGAAAAAAAAAACACTTGCGGGTTTCCGAGCTCCTTCTTACGTCCGTTCCGTCCAGTCGATGATTATTCAAAGTTATTTTTGACGTGAATGTTTTTACCCAGGTTGTGGCATCCCAGCTATCACTACCGTTATGCCCATCTCCGCACGGATTGCAAATGGTGAGGTGGCAGCCCCAGGATCATGGCCTTGGCAGGCTTCTATCCAGGTACAACTTTCATTTATTCTTTTCTCGAACACCTACGTGAAGGGTCAACAAGAACTTGCATTTAGATAGCGCCCCTCATCCAGGGCAGCATCCCAGAGCGCTTGGTGTGAGTCAAGGTTCTACTGTGCCGGACATTACCAATGTTATAATAATAATAATCCTTGCATTTGATATAGCGCTTTTCACGTCGGGAGGACGTCCCAAAGCGCTTCACAGAACACACTGTAGAGGGAATTGACTGCATATTTGTGGGTGAACGCGGCAGCCAATTGCGCACAGCAATGTCCCACAAACAGTCCATTCCGTCCCAAAGAAAGCGAGAGAGGTCGAAGAGAAGTGGCCAGCTGATACCAAGGCCTCCGTTTTACAATCCTGAGGATTGTAGTGGGGCGGGGAAGACTGAGGAAAGGAAGGAGCCTTCGCAGTCGTATAATATTTCATAATAATCCTTGCAATTAATCGATCTAATCCGATCTCTAACTCAACTCTGGAGCGAATTCAATAAGGGGTTCATTGGGTGCAGCAGCAGCAGCAGCACGAGTTGTAAAGATTGTGAAGTTCAGCAACTTCTTCCTTCAGCTCTGTAAGTGAGATGGCTGCTGACTCTGTCTTATTCCTTGCTTTGTTTTAGGATCGCAGTGACTGGCATTTTTGTGGTGGATCCTTGATTCAATCCCAATGGGTGATTACCGCTGCCCAGTGCGGAGTGAGGTAATAACAGTATCCTGCTCCGACCCAGGGAAGATGACATTAACATGTGTTCCACAAACCAGTTACCGTTCATTAATGACACTGACGGACACTTCCTATCTGTGGCAAAGGCCCTCTCCACTCATTCACCAGCTCTGATGTTCCAACTGATGGAACAACTCAGATGTGCAGTCCTGGTAGCATGTCTTATTAATAATAAGCCTCGCATTTGATACAGCGCCTTATCACGTCTTTGAGACATCTCAAAGCGCTTCCCAGAATGTACTGTTATATTCAAACCAGGACACTGAGGGAAGTAGAGGACATAGAATAAATGAATGGGAAACCCCATTAATAAAAGGATCGCAAGAGTTAACAATCGATGTGTGGTAAACGCCTTCAGGTGGAAATGTGGCAGTGCCTGAATTAATAATAGTAATAATCCCTGCATTGGATATAGTGCCTTATCACGTCGTTGAGACATCTCAAATACTGTAAACACAAAATATTCTGTGCCAATTGCACACAGCAGTGTCCCACAAACAGTCGGGGATTGAGTGACCACTTTTTTTTAGTTAATTTGTTTAAAGGATTATTAAGCCCGGAAAGCAATCTGCCAATTTATTAGTAGGTAATCAGAGGCATGTGGTGTAAGGAATCTTGCCTAAGGTTTCACCCAGCCCAGGAATCAAACCTGGGTTAACTTGCTCGGGAGGCAATTGCTCTTACCAAAACATTATAGGACTCCACAATGGCCAATTACTTCAAATTTCCTAAGTTTTAAATAATGTCCCATAAATTTTGATGGCCCGTCAATACCATCACTGTATTATTATCTCCAAACTGTAGTAGCTATTACAAGGGAACTTGATGAACAGCAGAAGACCAAGGAAGAGGCAAGCAATTGCCACACAGGTCCACCTTTGCACCCCCAAATAAATGTACAGTAAATAAATAGAACAGGAAAGGTGGTAGAGGCCAGTGCACTGGATTCATTTAAAAAGCGGCTTGATACTGTGATGGGTGGATGCCAGGATGGATGTTGTGGGAAGATGAAATCAGATGGTCTGTAGGGCCTTCTTCAACCAAAACCAACATTGTGATCTTGTGGAAGTGGTGACATTGTCTCCTGTCTGTTTCGTTACAGAGCAAACGATCATCGAGTAATCCTTGGGGTATCTGACAGAAACTTACAGCTACAGGATGGTCAAATTATGGAAATTAGCAAGGTTTGTAATGCACTCTGAGGATGGGTTTACCACTGAGTGCAAGGATGTTCTGAGCTTCTAAGGTTTTTTCTTTTGCAGATTGTAGGAATTAGGTCCTTAGAAATAACCTCATGCAAGTCACAAGCTTTTAATCTGCAAATTAAAATGTGAGAGGTTGTTCATACTTCAATTGAACTGCAAAGATGTGAGGATGCCAAATTCCCCGTTGTTTTGACTGTTGGCAGAAATGCAAGCTTTGAGCAAGATATTGCATGACTGGAAGATCCAATGAAACAGGAAAACGTGTTGTAAATTATAACACCATATAAAGAATGAAGATCATTCCCACTAGCTGTTAAATTGGTAACACGGTGGGTATAAACTCCGGATTGTCATCAGAAGAGTTAATAATACTTGCAATTGGCACAGTGCCTTATCATATCGTAGAGGCAGCTCAAAGATGTATTCTGTGGCGTAGAGACTTTTCAAAATTTATTTTGTAGGCAAACTTCAAATTGCAGTCAAATGGTGCACGGCAATGTCCCACAAACAGCCATGGACTGAAGGACCAATTTTATCTGTGGATTGTTGGCTTGCAAAATTGGAGGAGAAAACTTATTGACAAGTTCTTTATTTTTACAGGTGATCGTTCATCCTCAGTACAACCCAAAAACAATGTCCTATGATATGGCCCTGCTGAAGCTGGAGATGCCTGTTACAGTGAATGACCACGTGTCCACAGTGTGTCTCCCCACAGCAACAGACCTCTTCCCATCAGGGATGTTCTGCACCACAACCGGGTGGGGATTGACAAACCCTAACGGTATGGGTAATAAAATATATCTGAAAGCATGTCGCTGGAAAACGATTTCACTGAGAACCATAGAACCTTATAGTGCATGAGGTGGTCATTTTGCCCTCATGGCGTCTGGGCTGGCGTTTTGAAAGAATAATCCATTTGTCTGTCTTCCCCTTGCCCTCCTTTTTTACAGCGTGGCCAAAAAGTCATGATATCTACCCTCTATCTATTTTTGTTTCTGTTTATCTAAACAAAAAGAAAAATATCATTATTTCTTTAAGATTTATTAGACATTGTAATGGTATCACGACTTTTTGGTCACCCTGGAGATATCCATCTGGTTCCCTGTTGAAAAACTAATCATGGATCCTGCCTCCCCCCCCTCCTCCCCCTTTGCTCATTTGGTGATCCTAGAACCAAAAAACTTTACAGCGCAAAGAAACATAACCTAACATTTACAGGTTATGGAGGGAGCGGATGGACCAGATGAAATGAAGTACTTCTTCCACCGGAGTGTGGACAAGACACAATGGGTTTTGGTTCCCTCCTCTCCTCTCAGTCTTTAAAAGTTTAAAAAAACTGTCTTTAAAAAAAGCTACATTTTCGACCATGCCTAAAGTCACCTTCCTCCTCTCCCTCTGCTTGGTGTTTGCTGCCAACTCCGCAAAGCACTTTGAGACGTCACACTTTGTGAAAAGCGGCAAAATATATGCAAGTCATTGTTTTGAATTTGAGTAGGACTGGAGGGGGCGGATGGGGTTCTCCGGGAAAGAGTCCCGTGGTTTAATCGGACCCATAAACAAAAGCAAATTATTTTTTCCTGGTCTGTGCTATTTTTTTTCGAAAGTGGAAAGAGATATTTTGTTGTCTCTCTGATTTACAGATATTGGTTTGCCAACAAAATTACACCAAGCAAGCCTACCCCTGGTCTCAAAGTCGGAGTGTGAAAAAAAGTGGGGCTCCTCGTCGATAATCTCTGATGACATGCTTTGTGCAGGTGGCGCTGGAGCGACCTCCTGTTTGGTAAGATCGGAAAGTGGCCAATTCTGTTTGTCTAACGCAATACAACATTACATTTTTATTGCGCTTTTCATGTCGGGAGGACGTCCCCAGGCGCTGGACAGTCAGGGATTTCGACCTGAGCAGGGGAGTGGTGGGTGCGGGGGAACCTGTCAAAATGATTTCCCACACTTTGTTTCTCCACTTCAAGCTTGTCAGACAGCAATGGTCACTGTTCTCATGGCATGTTCTAGATTGCTTAGTGCTTCCTGGGGTTTTAGTCAGTATCCAACAGATGACTTAATACAGTGCAAGGCATCGCTCATCATTGGCTCTGCATGAGGCCTACTTGATGCTAAGAATGCATCTACAGTACTCATGAGATTCAATGATTTATTTCTCAAAGGTCGATAGCAATGCCAAGAGTTGCAGGAAGACCAATTTCACTTTTTTCTTTGAAGAATTTTTTTCTAACTTACTTTAGATCCCAACATAGAGGTCTTCTATCCTCCTCCTGACCAGTGTTTATCTGCTACTAATATCTGGGAGGTGTCAATGAACAGCATGGATCGAGTTATGCCTTGTCCCATTAAGCATCCCCCTTTCACTCAGCATCTTCCCAAACAGATTAATATACCAGGGAAGCACCAGGTAGGGATCACAAAGGCACTAAAGTGTATATCTCATAATAATACTTACATTTGATAGCACCTTTCACAATGGGAGGATGTCTCAAAGCACTTCATGGGATATGCTGTAAAGTGTAGTGACTGTAGTCAAATGCAGCAGCCAATTTGCACACAGCAACATCCCCAAAACAGTTATGAAGTGATTGATTAATTTTATTTGGAAGATTTTTGTCCAAGACACCGGAGGAAATACCCTTCTCTTTTCAAACAATGCTATGTGATCTCTAGCTTCCACCTGAACAGCCAGGTCGCAGTTTAATGTCTCATCCAAAAAGGTTAGGGTAAGGAAAGTCGATTGAGGCATAGTATAGTACAGGGTACTTTACTCTGAATATAACACTGAATGATAGAAGTGCGAAAGCGGGAATCTGTTCCCTAACACTGATGTACCCACTTTTACTGGAGCAACAAATCAAGATAAATTCTTGTGAATAATTGACTTTCTTTTATTTCCAGGGTGATGCTGGTAGCCCTCTGGTCTGTGAAAAGAATAATGCCTGGTATCTGGTGGGCGTTGTTTCCTGGGGTACAGCTTCCTGCAATTTAAGCATCCCAGCCGTATATGCCCGAGTGACCCAGGCTCAGCCTTGGATCGATCAGACTATAGCAGCTAACTGATTGCCTGTGCCATGATGTGAACTGAACTCTGCCGGTCTGATTGACTGTACTGTAGGTACTGTACAATTTGACTAATAGCAGAGCATGCGTCAGTAATGTTTAATAAAAAGTACCAGTAATGAAGCACCTATTTTTCTATTATCTAAAGTTAATGAACAGCCAGTCTCAAGGCAGGCACGACGGGATGTTTTTTATACATTCTATAAGGAAATCTTAATTAAAAGTGAGTATCAAACCTGCGTGAAACCAGTATTTTTGTCAACTTCTGCAATATTGCTATTTCATTCCCTAAAGTACAATAACAAGGATAAATGCAGTTAGGCTAGCTTTCTTTAAAACTAGGTTGGAGGTTTCCTTTGTGGATGTTTACATTGAAAAGCTCTACAGTCCTTATTCGACAGCCTGTTCACAGACCCTGGAGTGAGAGCATACAGTCAAGTGTTTGAAAAGCACAAATGCCTTCCTGGAGGTCATTCTACTTAAAATAAAGTCCGCTGTTTCTTTGCAACATGAACATATCAAACATGGAACATAAAAAGACTCTTTGGATCATTAACCCTGCTCCTCTCTCAGACCTTGTACAACCCACTCTATTCCAGAATCTAACACACCAATATGATCACCTTGTATAAGTATTCCCTGGTAGCGTTACACACACACAATTCCTGCAGCACTAAAACAGATTTAGTCATAAAATTCCTTTATCTTTGGCAAAGAATGGTCAATAAGAATGCAAGCTGTTGTTTAATATGCAGACTCTGTAGAAATATAGACTCAGACAATTCTTTGGTAAGCGCATTGTGCAAACAGAATTTAAGCATCATACAATTTACTAACAGTATCACTTAATCATACTAAATGGCTTTTAGTAATATGTAGTGCAACAATTAGTCAGAAGGTGGCACTAAAATCTTTTTTTTGGGTTCCTTGTCTGACTAAACATTAGATCCTTGCATTTGATATAGTGCTTTAAGTATTGAAACCTCTCAAAGGACTTCACAGGCTTCACTGTAAATGTAGTGACTGTATTTTAATAATAATAATAATAATAATCCTTGCATTTGATATAGCGCATTTCACGTCGGGAGGACGTCCCAAAGCGCTTCACAGAACACACTGTAAAGTGAATTGACTGTATATGTGTGGGCGAACGCGGCAGCCAATTGCGCACAGCAGTGTCCCACAAACAGTCGTAGATTGAAAATGACCAATTTATTATTGTTTTTGGTTTTGGAGGGTTTATTATTAGGCTCTGTGTGGAGTAAGGAAACTTGCCCAAGGTTTCGCCCTCTGCCTGGGAATTGAACTCAGGTCTCTCACTTGCAAAGCGAGTGCTCTAACCACTGAACTACAGGACTCCACTTTTAGATGAACAACCAATTTGCACTCAGCAATGTTCTACTAAGAGCTTTTAAGTGAAGGCCCAATGATAGCTGAAGGTTGTTGGCTGTATCTGAGATTGTAACTGGCATTATGACTGCCCATATGCCTAGATTTGGGTGGGATGCCCATTATCAGAGGAGCAGTCATTCACATGAAACGTTAAACTGGATCCAGTTTGCCTTTTTAGGTTGAAAATCCCATTGAAGTATTGGAAAAGAGAAGGGAGTTTCTCCCAGTGCCCCATCTAACAAACGCTCAAATAAAAAATTGCTTATTTAGTTCTTGGCTGTGTGCAAGTTGTCTGCTGTGTGCACTTACAAATAGTCACTCCATTTTACACAAAAAAACTGAAACGCTTTCAGTTGTTTCCAATGATAAGGCACTATTATCAAATGAAAGAATGGTTAATAGTAAAAACCCAAATAAAAGAGAGAAAAAGGGATAAGATGGATGAAATTTCACTTTATTGTAATAATCATGAAGACATTTTTACAATCACTTACCAATTAAACAAGACTGAATGCATAAAATAAATAATTTCTATAAAATATCTACATTTTGTGTTACAGGTTACCGCTCAACAAAATTGATCTACAAATGATAAAAAAAATCATATAAAACAGCAACTGTTGAAGATACCACAAAGTCCTACATATATTTGAAGACAATACTTTATAAAAACAACACATTTAAGGGAATACTTGTGGACGACGGAGTTTGAGAATTTGGCAGGAGTCACAAGGACACATCAGATTTCCCCATTGAACATGATGCACTGTAGTACTTCATCTCTTAAATATTTGGTCCCAGTAGTAGACAGAAATGCCCATGTTCATTTTGAATATAAAAAGAACGATGGGCTGCATTCAGTTTGATCAGAGCATTCCATTTGTACTTCATACCTTGAGCGTAAGGCATACACGACGATGCGTGGAACAACAAGAGTAAGTCAAGGCACAAGATCTGTCACCAGTTACCCTACAGGAAGGCAATCATATCCCTGCTCTTTTAACAATTGAATTTGCTAAGAACTCATAAGCTTTACCTTCTAAACTATTTACATTCCAACTCACATTACTGTTACCTTCAAGTGGAAATGACTGCCTATAACAAAACTTACAGTATCCCTCACAAGCTTATTCGCCCAGACAACTTTGTAAAGGTTAATTAAAAATGTACCGTGGTGGTTCTGATGTGCCACGATAAAGACAGTATTGTTGGGAGATTCACAAACAGTGCACACAGTGTTAATTATTTCATATATTCAAATGGTCCAACCCAATCTAGCACAAGGTATATGAGAAAATCCAACAGCTGTAACAAAAAAAACAACTGCAGAGAATCTTTTCAAATTACCTCTCAGTGGAAATAACGACAAAAAATCATTTCACAAGACATTCAGACTTGAAATTCAAAGAAGGCACATTAATGCAGAACTAATTTTTGAGCACACAAAACTTTTTTTTGAAAAAAATGTGTTAGAAACAGGCAAAGATACCAATTCCTATACATCTTGAAGGCACCTGATTTCTAGGGTATCATGCCTGCACGCATAAAATACATAATAGATAGGCAAAACAAGTTTAAAAAAAAGACAAGTAATTTAAACAAATCCAATTAACAATAGTGTTTTCAATAACCTTTGAGAAAAACTAGTCTGTCCAGCTAACAGATATTCTGTTGGTGAACTAGTGGATGAGGGGCTGGATCCAAATTTTATCAATTTATTTTAGCATACCTTAGGGTATAATGCTGCAAAATTGTTCTGTTCACAGTACAGCATTATTGATTAGAGTGTGGAGATGAGAACAAGGACAATCAAATACTTTGCCTGTTAGCCACACAATCCCAAACAGAAGTACAGTAAATACGTGATTTTAATCAACGTCTTGTAACTGGAATAGACATCAAGTGCTTGAAATTATTGATTCTGCATGACATAACAGTAAATCAAATTCGCCCTTCAAGGCAGTATCCTTTTTGTCAATAGAAACCAATTGAAACACAGGAATCTAATTTACAAAGCACTTATTTTCACAGAATCTGCAAATCTATGAGGGGAAATGAAGGAAAATTCGTAGATTTCTTAAACTCTCAAAGAAATTTATCTGAATTTGTAACAAATCAAACTTTTTAAAATGACCCGGTGAACAGATCAACTCAAAAAAAAAATTTAACTAATGGTTCAGGTAGGACAACAAATGAATACTGTTCACACTGCATATAATAGACCTCACAACATCAGAAATGAGTCCTCTGAATAAAATAGTAGAAATTACAGCAAGCATTCGCTCACTTATACACTCAGTCCAGGTTCCCTCTTGAATCTGATGTTTGGATATTATTTCAATGGTAAAAATCGCAGAAATATTCAGAGACCCAGCTAAAAAGGCCAATGCCCCATTGCATGAGGTTGAAGCATATAAGAGAGAAAGATAAAAACAAAACAAGTAGTGGTTAGGTAACACCAAGCTTGAGGTTTCTCAAGCCCGTAACAACAACAACAAAATTATATTGTAAAATGCCTTTCACGTCAGGAGGACATCCCAAGGCACTGAACAGTCAGGGATCAGGACCCGAGGGTGGGTGGGGGGTGGGGCAGAGAGGGTAGGAGAGCAGCTGAAAGCACTGTCAAAGAGGAGGGTCTTGAGTCGTATCTTGAAAGAGGCAAGAGAGGGAGCAAGGCGAAGGGATTGTGGGCTGGAGTTCGAAAGAGTGGAGGTAGAGAGGCTGAAACTTGGGAAATAAATGTTTTGAGGTCAGTGGATGAGAATGTCAGTTAGTGGCTATGGCATGCACTAAATCCACAGCTGAAACCTTTCTTTCATTAAAGCACAAACTAAATAAATATTTCTGCAGATGGATACATTTGTATTTGCCTCATGTCAGCAGCTGATAATGCAAGAAAACATAAGGCCCAGCCGGTCATCAAATCAAAACAGTACAACAGAAATTGGCCCAGATTAATATACCACAGACAACACAAATGGAATGGCACAGTATTGGAGTTTTTTTGGTAACAGTCAGTATATATTTTGAGTGATTCTGTGTCAAAAGCTGTAAATTTCACATTACATTCCACAGCTCTGTATTCTTGGCCCACGGTGTCAAATTAGACGCCAATTTGTCACAAATCAAGCGATTCCAATTACTTCCTCCCCACCACCACCATCTTTATTCGCGCACATCCACATACCAGCGGTAATGAGACAGAACATAGGAACAGGAGTAGGCCATTCAGCCCCTCGAGCCTGTTCCGCCATCCTATTGGATCAAGGCTGATCTGCAGATAAGCGACTCCCATCACAGAATTCTCACGCACTCTGCTTAACAGAACTCAATGGAAACAGAACAAATAGCCCTGAATACAATGTTCTGTTCGTAGCTGTTTAATTTGTTGTTGCAATTGTCTGAACTGACCTCTTTCGACCACCAAGTGTTTGGAACTCCAAGTGAGATCCACTGCAGCACCAGTGTAACTGGTCCTCAGGCTACGATCACTCTGCTCTGTTGCTGACTCAGCCATGAAATTCCTGACCATGTACTACAACCAGGCAGAAGATTTTAGCCACATGCAGCTCTTGGCAATGATCTGCTTGGCTTGTTCCAGTGCTTGTATTGATAGGAATCTGGAACCCAGCCACTTAAGACATTCCTGTTGACAATCATTAACTTAGAATCCAAGCTGCTTGTATAGAGTTAGTTTGTTAATAAGCAGTGAAAGTGGTAGATATCGCTCTACTCATGGCTCAATTGGTAAAGTCACCGTTCAGAGCAAAACAGTCAAATGGACCAGAATATGTACCATAATCTATTCTGTACGGGGTTAGCAGGTCTCAAAGATGGGGGTGGGCAGTAGGAATGTGATCATTTCCCTTTGCACCCTGTATTAGGAATGAAATTCAGCCAGGGTTGCTGCTCAAACTCACCATTCACCTCGTTCCCTTTAAAGTAACGCGTGTGGAATTTGGAAGGAACAGAATTCAGTTCTACTGAGAATATTTCCTCACAGTCAATAGCCTGGGGACAATCCCTGTTTGGGTTTACGCATTGAAAAAAAGGGGCCATTTGAGCCAAGCCCTGGAGTTGTCTGTCAGACAGCCTGTGCCTGCAAAACTGTACCCCTGTATTCAGAAAAGAGAGATTTAAGGAAGTTTCGAAAAACAAGCAGAGATGAAGTCTGTCGAGAATTTTACAACATTGTTCTGTGTGTTCAGCAGCTGTATCGGATCGAAGGTATTTTTTTTTAATGGCAATTTGCCAGACTCGCTCCGCAACACTCGATGCAATAACGCTAATTAACAGAGATTCTAAATGGTTAACAAGAAATTCCTGACAGTGCTGACCCTCTAAAGGAATGACTTACTGCTACAGTACAGAAATTTAGCATGAGAAGAACCAACATGGAAGCAGCCAGGAGTGACTTTGCACGTTCAACATGGCTCTGTGTATCCTATGGTCACAAAGGGTTAGAGTTGGCTTCTGTACGATCAGGAGTCACTGAATTACTTTCATTATCTTGCTGCCACCAATTTAAGTATATTTACGGCACATCAATTTGCATTTATATAGCTCCTTTTACGTAATAGGCATCTCAGTGCTTCACAAAATGAGATCAATTATATTTATGGCACACGGAGCGAGCAGCAGTAAGTGCGCGCTAACAAGGATGTGACTTGGGAGTGTGCCGGTTTTAGCACAGTTACTACTGCTTACAGATTGCTCGAGGAGAGCATTTTGTTTCGGCTCTCATGGTTTCTACAGCAACCACTGTTTACGATGATTGATGGGATTGTCCCACTTGGTCTAAAGTTACAAGCTGCAAATTGAGGTCCTGATCTCACTATGACAACCTGCTCACGTGCAATACATCTGTAATAATAATAAAAGCAATCCTTGCATTTGATACAGCGACTTATCTTCTAAGATCTCATGATGGAGGGGTTATCCTCTCTTCCCTCTTTCATCTCCTCTGTGGATTGTTGTAGGTTAAGAATACAGAGTTTCTGAAAAAGCATCCTCCAAGAAGATTTAATGTTGGCAAATGACAACACTTTACACTGATAAACACTGGAAAATAAAAATCAAAAGGTAACAATATGCATAAAAATTTCAAAAGCTATGATTTAACTAAGCGCAAATATATTGGGGCATATTTTGCTCATATGCTCTAGATCAGGTCCAACCTTTTGGCTGCTGAGGGCCGAATGCCCTATTTGAGAAATGCCGCATAAGCAATATTTTAGTGTTTCGCTTCCAGAAACATAATATAACATTTATGTAGGAGGGGGCAGATGGGCCAGATGAAATGGAGATGGGGGGGGCGGGGAGGGGGGGATGAAATCTAGGGGATTTAATGTATTTTCATAGCTTCAACAACTTTTTCCATTTCACCTAAAATAAGGCAAAAGATGGAATCATTACCATCAACCAGAGGAAGAGGGAAGGGGAAGGGGGGTGCAGGAAGGAGGTAACGGAGGAAGTGTGGCGGTAGTGGGTGGATGAAAAGAGAGATGACCTAGAGAGAACGGTCTCAAATTGACAAAATGTCTGTTGTGTGTAACATTGATCCCCTTTTACAGTGTCAAGCAGCTTGGCGTGTCCGAGGACACCTTAAATTAAGTGGTATTTTGTTGAAGTAGAAGAACAACGGTCTTCTTTATAGTTTATTATTAATCCAGTTAATATCGAACTTTTTTTCAATACGAAAATAGATACGAACATGCACAGCAACCACGCTTACTGCAATGTGTTCAAGACAAGTGCTTTGGCTTAACCTGTGATAAAGTGCAAACTAATCCACACTGGGTCAATGGACAAGTGGGCCCACATGCTCATTTTACCAGCAGCAGGAAGAGAGGCACTACCCCAGAAGGGTGGAAACTGAAGAATTAATCGCTCTGAGCTGCCGTTCCATACCGGCTAACAATTTGGCTTAAGAACAGCAGATCCCTTACAGCAGGTCACCAGCGAACTCAACCCACTCACCCAGGAAACATTGTACAAAGGCCTGAAGGAAGAAACATGTTTTTAACTCGTATAAAAAAACTTTTTTTGTTATTGTTCCCAAATATTATAGTCGGATCTCACAATTAACACTTACACATAAAACTTGGGTTTAAACTGAGCAATACACTCTTGTTTCCTTATCCTTCCAAAGAAAACACAGCCTTTGAGCAGCATATACAGATGCCCTCAAGTACACTGTTCACTGAGGACCCGGGCTAACTGGAAAAGCATGGCACATCCAGCTTTCGATGCTTAAAAAAAGGCCAACTTCTGGGTCATCAGGTCAAGGCATACATCACTTCCTGCACGCTAGGCATGTGCAAGACACGTTGCTGATATCACTCCGCGAACGAAGTCGCAATGCAATTACTGTACTAACACAAATGGAACGAACCAGGAGGTTATCAAAAGTAATCAAAACAAAAGCAAGGTTCAGCATTCAAGTCCCTTCTAACTGTGTTGAGACCACCCCATTCTGAACTTACTCTGTTTAATGGTCCCTTTACATACAGTCCTCTTTCATCGATCTATTTGCATTTGACTAATTTCATTGAAAAACATATCAATGGCTCAATGTTTTCCACCATTGTTTCCGGTGCTATTTGGACCACAGTTGTACATTTGAAAAGTTTCCCCCTTTGAAACGAGAACAGAGGAATGTTTGACTGGCAGAAAGTGGCTCACATCAACTCCTCGAGTCACAGACTCACCAAGTCCATGGTGATTGTCACCTGGAGAGCATTACATGCAGAGAAAGTGCACTGTGGGAGACAGACAGCGTTACACCAAAGTGTCCCAGGTCCCTCGTCAGCCTTCGTACTGTTGCTGATAGCGTAGATTGAGCTCCCGCAGTTCCCGCTCTCGTACTCTCCGCGACTTGTTGGACTTTGTGGACCTGCTGGACCTTGTGGACTGTGCTGACTTGGTGCTTTGGCATCGAGATGAAGCTCTCTTCAAAAGGTTCTGCGAGATGGAACGGTGCAGATTCTTCATAGAGGACGACGCTGCCATACTTACTATCCAAGGATGTTTCAAGGACTGACCTGCAGTCATCCTCTCACTGGAATCCACTGTAAGCAATCGGTCTATAAAATCCTTGGCTAGGTTTGAAACACTGGGCCACGGCTAAAAAATAAACAAATAGAACAGTAAATCATTACAACACGGAATGAATGGAGGTTTAAGAGACTGCACATTTTCCAACATAAAGTTGTATAAAATTTACATTAATCACATCAGTTTTTATTGTCACATTAGGTGAAAGCAAAAATTTGATAGAAAAAATCTGAATTCAAAACTACCATGCAAGCCTCTACCTTGGATTAAAAAAAACATTATTTTCTGGAAAATGTATAATTTGTGCAATGCACATGCAATATGTATTTTCACCCTTCGTCAGAATAAAACTGCTGGATCCACACGTTGCTGAGACAAAAGACACGCTTCCCATGCCACTATTTGTCAAAACCTCAACACTCAAACGATGTCAACTTGCTGCTGATAAATGTGTACATGGGCCTTATTATCCAGCTTAACAAAATGTATTTTTACTGCTAAAGAACTTTTATAGCACCTTATGTCGAAACATCTCAAGATGCTTCATAATTATTGTCAAGTGTAGTGACTGATTTTATAAGCAAACAAACATTGGGAGGCCCCCTCTACAGAACGATCATGGGAATCTGCTAATGTATTACTCTACTGCTGGTAAACATAGCTAGAGTATCTTTCGAGAATATCACGGCCACCGTTCTAATCTCTGAATACATTACAGCTTTGTAACACCCTACCTATGAGTTATCTAATTTTCAAAATGAATGGGTACACTTTCCTTTGTGCTTCATTACCTCAATGCTGTGCAAATAGATTTGCATAACTCAGCACCTTATCACACCTGAGCCTCATTGCACTCCTTAGCAAAGAATAACGAAACCTCTTATTTAAAAGAAAGTGAAGGCCTTATCGCTTCACAACCTGCCATAACAGGTGACATCAAAAGATGTCTTGCACGATCTCAGTTTCAAAGGTCAAACCTAAACTCGATGGAATCGTGCATCCAATTTTCCCATTTGCGTTTCAAAGCATTCCGTCCTTCCCAATTCTCCCTTGGGCCTGATATGTGGCTCGAGTTGGCAATTGTTTTACAATGAGCCAAGGTAAACCAAAGTTACCAGGACCCTGGGGAAGTCCAGGCCAAACCCTGAACAAGATGTATAGAAAGAACAAGTAACATCAATGAATAATCCTGACTCCTGACCCCCTTCTCCCACCCCCTGCCTTTTTCCTCCTGCAGCTATTTAATTGAAATGTCAGATAGCATTGTCACTTTGCTCCTCGTTCCAACAGTCACGTCAAACGGAAAGAAGTTTCTCAACGCTCACCAATGGGGAGTCATTGAAAGTATTCTGCGGTTATTTCACTTCCAAAATTGTAGGCACAGAAGAACAAACCAGGCTGCACTTCTGACTTTCAATGGTCTTGCACTTACAGCGAGACTTTCTCACTTTAAAAACACTCGACATGGTCAGAAAACTGCAGTTGAGAAACTCTAGTGCATTTAGATTAAAACCATATACTTCCTATTTGTATCAGTCACCCTGATCTTTTTAAAAAAGGACATGTGTATCCGTTATGTATAGCTTGCAATCTCTAACAAGTTTAATAATCCATCCAAGAAACACAAGATCTGTGAAGCAGAAAAGGTTTGCACGTTTGTCCTAACTCTCGGCAATCGGGAAAATTCATTATCCAAAGTCAGCCATCAAACCTGAACTTTGGCATCTCCAAAAAGGTGATGTATACAAACACTACTCATCCTCCAAGTCATAGATTATACAATATAATATATTCAAAAATGCAGGCGTGAAAAAACAACAGCTCTTCCAGATTTTAAACTGTAAACTACGCTGCCACAACCGCAAGCTAACATTTTCCAGACATTCATTTACTCACAGCATTGCAATTCATTTCCAAAATCATGATTCAACTGCTCCACACTTCTCCTCGTGTCGGTCATGCCATGTGCAAAACTGAAACACTTACAAGAAGATTCTTACCAAAGAGGATTTCGAAATATTCCATGACCCAAATTTGTTCATTTCAGCTTTGAAACGCAGCTTTATGATAAAAATTCACCCCAGATATTTCCAAATTAAATAATATGCATCAAACTTTCTATTTTATCATCAAAGTATATTCTGTGAAGTGCTTTTAAGATGTCTCGAAGACCGGATAGGGCACTCTACCAAATGCAAGGATCATTATTATAGGCACTGCTTTAGCTACTTACGCAAAACACAACCTGTTTTGTGACATTTATTTAATCAGGAGGTAAATTTGTCAGACTGTTGAGCAACCATAAATAAGGGGATAACACAAGCTAATGCAGAGAATTGTCAATCATAACTTACTGGAGAACTTTCATTAGCTTTGACTATTTGTCTTTCCCTGACATATGCAGCACACACTGCGAAAGCTGTACTTTCACGATTACTTCAAAAGAACATTGACTTGTTCTTATTCCTGTTGCAATCTTTCTAAAGCTCTTCACGCTGCATGACATTTGAATTAGAATTTAATCAATACGGAGGGAGAATACATGTGTGCGTGAGGTCTCAGCAAAGAAAGTCACCTGAAATTCTAATGCGTCAATTTAAACTTGTAACATTTATACGACCAAAATTATTAAACTAACCCCGCGCGTACATCTTTGCAGGCCCACCGACCGGCCTGCTTTCGATACCTCTTACTCTGTTAATAATTTTATAAGGTCAGTGCAAACATTCAAACCTCTACTTAGTAGGAGGTGCTCCCAGGAATGCATTTTTTAAAAATGGAACTTGAACTTCTCTTAAAATACCTGTTTGGTGGCGCACAGACCGATTTAGAGTCAGATATTTTGGAATGGATGGAAAGCTTACTTGCAACGACCAGTGAGTACAAGCACTCCGGACGCTAACCGGCATGAAGGGCGCTAAATAAATGCAAGTTGTTGTTGCTGTTGTTGTATGGAGGCGCTATAACACCTTCTACAGCGGCCATAAAGCAATTCCGTTCTGACACGAGTACGGATAAACTGTCTCTTATTAGCAGGAAACAGATAGCACAGAGCAAAATGTCATCACTTTGAAAGCTGCCAAAAGCTGCCACGAATGGTTTACATACACACAAGGTTGAAGAATCCTTAAACAATTCCATCACATGTGTCTTCATGACCAAGGAAATGCTTAGTCAGTTCTCAAAACATTTACTTTCTTACCTTAAAAAAGAACCTAAGAAAGGTTCTCCTATAGCCAGCGCGCTGCAGGGCAAACAATGCTTACTTTATTAAGTTATATTACCACAGCAATTCTTTATGTTAAACTTCCATACTTAAGCTTTAGCTTACAAACACAATCTTCAATTTCTGTCTGTAACACCTACATTTCATTAACATGTCCGCCTGACATAGAGAGGAGAAGTGTATTCTAATAAAGTCAAGTCTCCATGTTTCCCCTTCCCTGAAGGAGAGGGTAATCTCTGCCCAGACCTCTTCCAGCAGCACTAATTCTTGCAGCTTAAGACGTTACTTGCATCTTTTCCATTAGGAATCAATCACCTGTCAGGCCATTCAATGACTCTTGAGAAGCTCAACATTTAAATTAATGCTTGATAAAAATGATTGAGTACATACTCATAACTTGCAATTTAATTCCAGCTAATGTGATTTTCAAAATAGATCAAACTCAGAAAGGACTGCAGGCAAGTTTTCATGCGGACAGATTTAAAAAGCATTTTTAGAGCAGAACAGGCTAAATCAAATTGATTAAGCAATTAAATATGTGTTCACCTTACACCATGACTTATACAGTATAGAGGATGCAATGCAAGGACCTTGAATAAAAAAAATTAATCTATGAAAAAGGAGAGCAGATAGCAATTTATAGAATAAATACAGAAAACACCAAATGTTCCAACACACGGATGAATCACCTAGGGGGATAAAAGTTATATGAAATGATATCCGGTTGTTTAACAACACCACTTAAATACAGTACAGTCTACAGTGGCTAAATACATCACTTAAAAAATCAAAAACGGAGAGAGAGCTATATTTTCTTCAGACCATACCCTTTTGGTGTGCCAGTACCTCAAAAGAATTCAACATGTAGGTTATTTTTTATGCGGTCTTAACTTTCCAGTCACCGAATAAATCTAGTTAAGTGTTCAGAGGAAATGAAAGGAAATAAAACACAACTTCAGGATAGACTGGTAGCCCATCAGAGGAACAGTGTTCATAAAGTGTCAGTTACAATAAGAAAAGGGAATAATGAAAGCTCACAAAGGGAAAGGATATACACACTCATGTTAAATGCAAGCTCAGCAAGTTGCTTTGTTTCCTAGTTCAAAGATGTAAAGTCACTTGGAGAACTTTTGAAATCTTACACGCAGTTTGGCATTTTGTTTTGAAGGATATGGTCATTAAAAGGTGGCGAAATAAAAACTGACTTTACCATGATTAAGTTTTGCTGAAAACGTATTCAGTTGTTCATCGAATTAAGTTGCAAAATAACATTATAAATGCACGTGAACGACACCGAGCAAACAGAATTAAAATACAAAGATCTCCGCAATGTTAATCCATTGACAAGAAACATGGTTATTTGGATCTAATATAATTGGGACAAAAATATGTGGTTAATCTTCCTCCATCTCTGAACAAGAAAATATCTGCAGGCATTTCAGGAGGACGAGGCATTAAGACTCCTCAAGATTAAGTTAACAAGATTTAACTTGTGAATAAAGTTACTTTCAAAAGAGGCAACAGAAATGTTTACTGCAGCTACTTAAAGGAAAATAAATAAACTGTTACAAATCAGCTACATTAATTGAAAACACAAAGCCAGATACAGGCGTATCTATCAGTTACAAAACAAATAAAGCAATCAACTTTTAGAAACTTCACAATTCCTGTAGGTATAGACGCTCAAAACAGAAGCTGCTGCTGATCTCATTCCTGTCATCAGACTGATAGTACAATACAAAATAGAAAATTATAATGGATAGCACCTTTCACATCAGGAGGAGTCAGGGATTTGGACCCGAGCAGGGGGTTTGGGATCAGGGAGGATGGAGGGCAGGGAGGGTAATATTAATAATCCTTGCATTTGACATAGTGCCTTATCACAACTTCGAGACGTCTTAGAGCGCTTCACAGAATATTTTTTCGCAGCGGGTAGGAGAGTGGCCGTATGCGCAGTCAAAGTGTCCTGAGACATGCCTTGAAGGAGGAGAGGGAGGGAGGGAGCGAGACGAAGGGAATGTGGGACGGAGTCCCAAAGGGTGGGGACAGAGAGGCTGAAGGCCAGAACGCCGATGGTGGGATGAGGAGGCGTCTCCCGGGCAGGGGATTTGGAGTAGGCCACAGCTAAAGATTAGCAAAATTGGAAGTGGTTAAAGATTAGCAAGTATTTTTATAAAACAAGACTACGGTCGAGGTCCGATCACTCACCTCTCCTGAGTAACTGTACTTGCCCTTCAATATTTGTCGGTATAATCGTGTGCGATTATCATCTTCAAAAGGCATAGTTCCGCTTAGCAAAATGTAGGAAACGACACCCAGAGCCCACATGTCAACAGAGTTTGTGTATGGTTTCCTCACAAGGATTTCTGGCGCGATGTACTCAGGGGTGCCACAGGTGGTCTTCATGAGACAGTCGTCCCCTTTCTTTCGAGTGCTTGCTAACCCAAAATCCGTAATCATGATTTTTGACTCGGCACCTGGGTGATAATACAGCAGGTTCTCAGGCTTCAGGTCTCGGTGTGTGATGCCCAGGGTATGCAAATATTTCACTCCATCGAGAACCATCTGTAGCACTCTGGTGCCATCTCTTTCAGTAAATGAGCCTTTGGCTATAATCCTGTCAAAAAGTTCACCTCCAGTCGCCAACTCCATCACCATGTACACTCTCTCCTGAGTCTCAAACACTTCAATGAGCTGTATTATGTTTATGTGCCTCACTCTTCTGAGGACGTTCAGCTCAGACTCGCACACTTCCCTGCCCTCCTTGTACTTTGTCTCGATCAGTTTTATCGCGTAAGGCTGTTTGGTGCTTTTATGCTCTACTCTGACCACTCTGCTAAAACTCCCTCTGCCAATCAGTGCCTTAATATCATATTTTGCAGTCACTCTGGGGTCAAACTTGGCCCGGTATTTGGCCACCTTGTTCCTCCTCGGATCACTCTGCTGCTCCCAATGAGCGCTCTGTTGGTACGCGTTAGTGTGATGAGGTGGGGGCGGTGGACCTGTTTTGCCTCCGCTCTTGATGGCGTCATCTTTAATAAAGTGCTTGTATTTGTCGTCGTTTTGCCCAGTGTAGGGCTCCACGGTTTTGACGAGATCCAAGTGGACGTCTTTAGGTGGCGGCTCGGGCAGTACTTTGCTCATCCCACAGCCCATCACTTTACAATGTTACTGAGCCACAAAGGCATTGTGTCACTTCATCATCATCATCATCATCATCATCATCATCGTCATCAGCAGCAGCATCATCCTCCTCCTTCTCCTCCTCCTCCACCACCACCAACACCTCCAACACTTCCACTCGGAGCTCGACCCCCTTTCCCTCTGCACGGAAAAGAAAACGGTGCACAAGTCACGCGTGCACGCACGAGCGCGCGCGAGCGCGGGCGAGGCTTTTATAACCGACCCGGCCAACATTTCATGGCGCGTGAGCCGCCGGTCAATTCGCCTCGAGAGATTCAGAGGCCGTTTGTGTTTTTTTTTAAAAAAAAAAGAAACGCACAGCGTTCGGGCCGTACGACCGCTCAGCCGACCGTGTACCGGAACGCTCCGATTCGTACCGAAGATTTAATGCTCAGGACTAACAACGGTCACGTGCGCGAAGTACATCGAACGTAGTGACTCTCTTTTTTTTTGGGGGGGGGAAGGAGGGAGGGGAGGGAGGGGGAGGGGAGGGAGGAGGGGGGAGGGATAGAAAGCTTACGGCAAGGAGGCAACGTGAGCGTAGTAAAGGGAGTTTCTAATGTGTATTCGCCCCCAACCCCCACCCCACCGCCCCCCACCCCACCGCCCCCCAACCCCCACCCCACCGCCCCAACCCCCACCCCACCGCCCCCCACCCCCACCGCCCCCCAACCCCCCACCCCACCGCCCCCCAACCCCCACCCCACCGCCCCCAACCCCCACCCCACCGCCCCCCAACCCCACCCCACACACACACCCTTCCTCCTCTTCCTCTTCCTCCTCCTCCTCCTCTTCTTCCTCACCCCCACAGAGACAAAACACAAGCGGTTTGGGTGTCAGGAGGGGGAGGGGGGAGGGGGGAGGCCCAGGCTCCGGGGTGGGGTGGGGTGGGGGTGGGGGGGGGGGGCAGCAGACAGCAGACCCCACCCCTCACCCCCTCTCACTCACCCCTCAGACTGACTGACTGACTGACAGACGACGACAACAACAACAGCTATGTATTAACACCGCGCTGTTCGGGCGCGGCGGCGGGTCTCGCGCGCGCGTTCGATTCACACTCACACTCGCTGTCGTCCCGCGGTCTCCGCTGCGGACAATTTGATATAGAAAATCACAGCGAAAAACAACAGCCCTTCCTCCCCCCTCTTCCTCTTCCTCCTCCTCCTCCTCCTCTTCGCTATGGCGACCGAGACCCTCCTTCAGCTTTCAGCCGCTCTCTCTCTCTCTCCTCTCTCTCTCTCTCTCCTCACTCTCTCTCGCGCGCGCTCTCCCTCCTCCCCTTCCCCGCATCTCCCGGAGCCCGGGCCCCGCTGCCTCGGCGCTGCTCGCGGGCCTCAGGGCGGCGGCGGCGGCGGCGGCTGCAGCGCAAAGCGGCGGCCGCTCGGCTCCGCTCCGCTCGGTAGCGCCCCCTCCCGGCCCGGCTGCCAAACTGCCGCCCGCCCGCCCGGAGCCCCGACCAGCTGCTTCCACCCGGTCCGCTTTCCGCTTCGGGTCGTTTCAACCCCCCCCCCCCCCCAGGTCCGCTTGCCCTGCCCCCCCCCCCCCCCCACTGACCCCACCACTGCCCCTCCCCACCACTCCCCTCCCCCTCACTGCCCCCACTCCCCTCCCCCCCACTCCCCTCCCTCTCACTGCCCCCCCCCCCACTGACCCCCCCACTGCCCCTCCCCCCCACTCCCCTCCCCCCTCACTGCCCCCACTCCCCTCCCCTCACTGCCCCCACTCCCCTCCCCCCCACTCCCCTCCCTCTCACTGCCCCCCACTCCCCTCCCTCTCACTGCCCCCCCACTCCCTCCCCCCCACTCCCCTCCCCCCACTGCCCCCTCCCCACTCCCCTCCCCCCACTGCCCCCCCCACTCCCTCCCCCACTGCCCCCCCACTCCCCTCCCCCCACTGCCCCCTCCCCACTCCCCTCCCTGCCATTCCCGTCCACTCCCTCTCCCCTTCCCCCCACTGCCCTCCCCCCTTCCCTCCTCTCCCTCCCCCCTCCCCTCCCCCCGCGCCCCACCCACCATTTCCCACCTTTTAATAAGAAAATCTTACGATTGTAAAAGTGTAATAATAATCTGTTGGATAGTGAGGGAGGTGTTGGTTTGGCCAATTCAAAAAAAATTCGCAAATTGCAAAGGAATTGGAAGCCTTTTGGCGAAGTGAATCGTACTTGAAAAGCAGAACTTCGTCCAAAGTTTTTGAGGCCACTTTTGGAAAACAGCAGCGGATGATTTCAAGCATTTTCGAATTAGAATCCCAGAAACGTGTACGTGTGTGTTTATGAGTACGTCTGTGTGTGTCTCTTCCGCGTGCGCGTGTGTTTACGAGTGCCTCTGAGTGAGTGTGAGTGTGTGTGTGTGTCTCTCTCTTCTTGTCTAATCGCCAGCATTTTTCAGGCTCGCTTCTTTTCAACTGTTAAGCCAACTGAACCGTTAGAACGACGACGCTTCAGCCACGTACGTCAGGCACAGTGCTGCTCTTTCATCTCACAGCCAATATCAACGAGGGACAGAAATGCCAGTGAAGTGGCGCAGCAGGTTATGCTGACGCACCGTTCCTGTGGAGTCGTGGGGTTCGTTCAGCCTTGCTCCTGGGAGCTTCCTCCCACAATGAGCTCAGTCTCAGTGAATGATTCACCTCACAAAGGGGGAGTCGACTGTCGCGCACCTCACTGCCTGGTTCCAGAAACGTTGGCAGACCCTGCAAGCGGGTTAACGCGGAAAAATGTCTTGCAAAATCATAGGCGCGAAAGCAGCACAGAAAGGGAACAGAGAGATAGGTTGCGCGTGTTGTAATGTAACCCTGGGGTGTTATTGATGCCAACTCTTCAGGTGAGTTGCGGGAGAACAGATCATGCTTTGGATTCAGGGCAGGCTAATGAGCAGAGATGAGTGACAGCAGAGAAGGTGGGAGAGGTCAAGATAAACCAAATTAAATTGGGTGCAACTCTTGACTGTCCAGCGCCTTGGGTCATCCTCCCAACGTGAAAGGCGCTATATAAATGCTACTTGTTGTTGATGATTAGATATAAAGCATCGGGATTGTACATGACAAGGTAGTGCAACTTACATCACCATTCCCTGTGGTCCAGCTCCCTGTGCTGAGCTATCAACGCCCACAAAATACACAGTCGATTCACTTTACAGTATATTCTGTGAAGCGCTTTGAGACGTCTCGAAGATGTGATAAGACGCTATATCAAATGCAAGGGTTATTATTATTATTATTCTCAATGCTGCTTATGGATTGCCGTGGCTGGGGTTATTGGGATGTGATTCCACCATTTACCTTCTCTCTTTCATGCACCATCCTCTCATTCTCTTTCCTGCCTTCAGTGGATGTCATTCATCAGTTCTCAGAAAGGCCACTGACTCATTAGGTGGTGGGGAAAATATATCGAGATCAGCTCCACCCTAGAAACTCTCCTGTGCTCTTCCCCAAACCAACAGTTAAGCTTAAAGCAGTGTCAATAGAGGCTGCATGAAAGTCCACCATTCTGCTGTAAAAAAGCATTGGAGGATAAACTGTAAGGAAAAGAAATGTTGGCATCAAGTAACTTCCCTTCCTTTTTATTTTTGGTCAGCCGGGTGTCTGACACTTACAGAAACCCATCCCCACGTTTAAGAGCAACTACCTACACATGGAAATTCCAGAGATAGATTGTTGGAATGCAATGCACACTCTCTCCCTGGAGGGATGCATCCTGCTTACCTAATTCTGGAAAGTATTAGGCGCAGGTTGGCAAGAGCCAAGGTTTGTGCCCCCCAGAGTGTGAGTTGGGTCAACTGCTGGAGAGTAACCAGCTGAAACCACGTAGCTTGCCATTGCTATCGACTGTCTGACTTCCTTGTGCTTTCCTCTCATTCAGGAACACGCACAGTTAAGAAGAGTCCAATATCTTTTCCGAGCGGTTGTGTTACGGGGTCTATCCTCACTCACAGCAACAAACATAATGCCGCCGAGGCTGACCCAAAAGAAAGCAAATTCAGATCGCATGTGAAGGAAGCACAAGCCCCGGCTATCAATGTAGCACGCTCCATTTCTCGGTTGAGAACGTGAGCACATTCACAGAGGAATTAAACGCAAATTTAATTCCAAGCTTATACTGGCTCAACTGATGCAGCCAAATCCAGATTAACTCAGATTTTTGGCAAAGAAGAAGAATATACTTTTATTGGAATTCAGCAGTCGTATCCAATGCTCTAAGCACACGGCAAGGGCATGTTGGCACGTTGGCAAGCGACCAGGTCTAATTGATCTAAGGCAGCCAAAACTCTATCAAACCTGAACATCATTTTAAGATGGTGAAGCTAAGGTGGGTAAACCCAGGTTTTGTAACACAAACCTTAAGTGTCTCAAAAGTTTGTGAATCTCAACAAAGCTTTGTGTTTCCACTTTTAAAATATCTGCCATGGGAACGAGAAGTATTTTTACACTATTTATAGTCGAGAGAGAGGGGTGTCCATACTCTGAGAGCTGTTGAGTTTGTACAATAGCTGAGGTGGCAGCCTGGCTCGGTTGCTATCACTCTCACCAATCTGTGTATTCGGTGAAGCGTTAAAGAAAATAACTTGTCTTTATATATCGTCTTTCACTTCAAAATGAACATTGTGAATCGCTTTACAAAGTGCAATTAATCACACATAAATAATAAGTAAATATTAACAATAATCTCTGCGTTTGATTCAGCACCTTTTATGTCAGGAGGATTTCTCAAAGCGCTTCACAGAATTTACTGTCAAATTTAATGGCAGCAATGTTCCAACAAACAGCCAATGAAGCGAATGAGCAATTTTATTTGGGGGATTGTTGGCCAGGACACCGGGAGAAACTCCTTCCTGTGTTCAAATAGTGCCGTGGAATCTTTAACCTCCACCTGAGCAGGCAGATTATTCAAATCCTCCCATTTTCTCTACTCTGCTCTACGTTTGCAGCATGCCATGTCTCACCAAAACACACCGCACTGTGGCATCGCTTACAAATCCTGCGGAAGTCTTCAGGGGGTTTACTGCACGCACCTCAAGCTATATTTAACAAGGGAAAGAGTTACTTCATTTCAAGGAATCCCATGGGCC